TTGGGATATTTCAGTTTTTCGATTCTTTAAATTTTCATTTTGTCAGTTATTCAAAATTTCAGCTTTACGATTTTTCAATTTTCTAGTTTTTTAGTTCTTCGATATTTCAATTTTTCAAATTGTTTAATTTTGGATTTCTCACATTTTTGATGTTTCGATTTCTCTCTTTTTCGATTTTTTGGCTTCTCGGTTTTAGATTTTTCGGTTTTTGAATTTTTCGATTTTAAAAATTTTTGATTTTTCAATTATTCGATTTTTTTAAATTTTAGCTTCTCGATTTTTCGATTTTGGCCTATTTCGATTTTTCGACTTTTCGATGTGTCAGTATTTTAATTTTTGGTTGTTTCGATTTCTTGGTTTTCCGATTTTTCGGCTTTTCGGTTTTCCAATTTTTCGATATTTTAGTTTTATGGATTGATGGCATCGTATAGTTTTGGAAACTTCATTCTACCCTGTAAAATTTTATTAGCAATAACAATTTTTTTTCGATTTCTCAGTTTTTGGACTTTCGATTTTCCAGTTTTTCAAATATTTCAGTTTTGGAATTTTTTAGCTTTTTTTATTTTTCAATTTTTCAATTTCCCGATTTTTCAATTTTTTTTATTCTTCAAATTGTTACTTCTCCATTTCTTCATTTTATTTTTCGACTTTTTAGTTTTTCAATTCTTTAATTATTCGATACTTCCAGTTTTTAATTTTTCTCTCTCCATATTCCGGTTTTTTGATTTCTCAATTTTTCAATGTTATAGTTTTGGGATTTTTCAGTATTTCGATTCTCCAATTTTTTGACCTCCCGATTTTTTACTTTTCCGATTTTTCAATTTTTAAAATTGTGGATCTTTCAGTTATTCGATATTTCAATTTTTCGCATTTTTAATTTTTTTATTGTTGTTTCGATTTCTCGGTTTCTCGATTTTCGATTTTTCAATTTTTTCGCTTACAAATTTTCCGTCATTTCAGTTTTGGAATTTTTCAATTTCTCGATTCTTCAATTTTCAGATTTTTCAATTTTTGCGATTATTTAAATTTTGATTTTTTGATTTGTCAATTTTTTGAATTTTTGACTTCGATATTTTAATTTTTAAATTTTTGATTTTTGGATTTCTTGATACATATTTCGATTTTTCAGTTCTTCTGTATTTTTATTTTTCAGTTCTTCTGTGTTTTTATTTTTCAGTTCTTCTGATTTTTATTTTTCAATTTTCGAATTGATGAATTTTTGGTTTTTTAGTTTTTGATTTTTTCAATTTTTGGATTTTTTAGATTTTACATTTTTCGATTTTTCAATTTTTCGATTTTATGATTTTTTGACGTTACAATGTCTTAATATCTCCATTATTCGGTTTTCAATTTCTTTTTACTTTTCGATTTTTAGATTTCTCGAATTGTTGAGTTTTTGATATTTTAATTGTTAGATTTTTTGTTGTTTCGATTGCTCGATCCGTCAATTTTTCGATTGTTAAATTTTTTCATTTTTCGATTTTTCAGTTTTTCAACTTTTTTGATGTTTTGTTTTTTCGATGTTTCCATTTTTCAATTTCTCGATTTTTTAGTTTTTCGATTCTTCAATCTTGACTTTCACTGTTTGCGATTTTTAAAATCTTAATATTTCGATTTCTCAGTTTTTTGAATATTTGACTTATCGATATTTAAATGTTTAGATTTTTCAATTTTTTTATTTTTCGAATTTTTAAATTTTTGATTTTTGAATTGTAGCATTTTTTAAATGTTACATTTTTTCGATTTTATGATTTTTTTATTGTTCTGCCTCTGGATATTTCGACTTTTCAATTTTTCCATTTCCCAATTTTCCGTCATTTTAGTTTTCGAATTTTTCAATTTCTCGAATTTTTAGTTTTTTAATTCTTCAATTTTCCGAGTTTTCAATTACGATTTTATAAATTTTGGATTTTTTTGAGTTCTCAGTTTTTTGAATTTTTGGCTTTTCGATATTTGAATTTAAAATTTTTCAATTTTTCGATATATTAATTTTTAAAATTTGATTTTGCCGTTCTTCGGTATTTCTATTTTTCAATTTTTCGATTTTTTTATTTTTTTTCAGTTTCTTGATTTTACATTTTATGATTTTTTGACGATTAAATTACTTGACATCTCCGTTATTCGATTTTTAAAATTGTTTTACTTTTCGATTTGTTGAGTTTTCGGTATCACAATTTTTCAACATTTCAAGTTTGGGAACTTTTCAATTTCTGGGTTATTAAATTTTTGGATATTTTAATTTTTAGATTTTTTGATGCTTCGATTGCTCGATCCTTCGATTGCTCGATCCTTCGATTTTCCGGTTTTTCAATTTTTCGATTGTTAAAATTTCCTCATTGCTCGATTTTTCAATTTTTTTATTGTTCGACCTTTTTGATGTTTTGGTTTCTCAATGTTTCAGTTTTCCAATTTTTCGATGTTTGGATTTTTCAATTTCCCAATTTTCCGTTATTTAAGTTTTCGAATTTTTCAGTTTCTCGATTTTATAGTTTTTCTATTCTTCAATTTTCCGAAGTTTCAATGTTTGCGATTTTTTAAATATTGAGTTTTTGACTTTTCAATATTTGAATTTTTAGATTTTTCATTTTTCGATATATTAATTTGTAAATTTTTGAGTTTTGGATTTCTTTCGATTTTTCAGTTCTTCGATATTCCTATTTTTCAATATTTCGATTTTTAAATTTTCCATTTTTCCCTTTTATCATTTGTTGACGTCCCAATTTCTTGACATCTCGGTTATTCGATTTTTATTTTTTTTTACTTTTCGATTTTTAGATTTCTCGATTTGTTAAGTTTTCGGTATCTTAATTTTTTAACATACCAATTAATTCTGGGAATTTTTTGATTTCTGGGTTATTAAATTTTTGGATATCGTAAATTTTAAATTTTTTGGTATTTCGATTGCTGCAGCCTTCGATTTTTCAACTTGTTTGATTTCGATTTTTCGGTTTTTCAACTTTTCGATTGTTAAAATTTTTTTAATTGTTCGGTCTCTGGATATAATGATTTTTCAGTTTTTGAATTTTCCGATTTTTCAATTTTACGATGTTTTGACTTTACAATTTTTCCATTTCTCAATCTTTCGTCATTTTGGTTTTCGAATTTTTCAACTTCCCGATTTTTTAGTTTTTCGAATCTTCAATTTTCTGATTTTTCAATTTTTGCAATTCTTTAAATTTTGAATTTTTGACTTTTCGATATTTGCATTTTTAGGTTTTTTAATTGTTCAATTTTTCGATATTTTAATTTTTAAATTTTTGGTTTTTGGATTAAACATTTTTTTCTTTCACTCTCTGGTTATTCCGATTTTTTACGTTTTCGATTTTTCAAAAAGCGTTTTTTCCTTTAAGCTGTCGTAGAGTCAATCCGACGAATGGCTACTTCCATATTTTATCGACGTTTCATGACCCCTAAGTGCGAAAAAATAGTTTTCCCGTTTCCGTGTGTCTGTCATTTGTCTGTCTGTCTGTCTCGATTTTTATTAGACGGATAATCTTCGAAACTCTTGAAGCGATTGTTGCCGAATTTTGTATCTCGTTTAAGAATATCGTCAGCCTTAAGCGCAGGCACTATTTAACTCTTTATAAACCGGATGATTTTTGAAATTTTTGCTGTAGTTACCCATGACGCTGACGTCAGCAGTAAAACGTGTTGCATAACTTGAATTGCAGGGTGTATTTTGGGTTGCCTGAATATTGAACGTCATTTCGAAAAATTGATGCTATCAAAATTTCAACAACTCTTCAATTCAACCATAGTCCGCGTAAAAATTCCCCATCTTCCAGCGAACTTCCCGCAACAAAACCCGTCCGAAAATAGCATTTTCCGTGCCAGGCGGCAACCCCGCCGCCCTCGCCCGCCCCCGGCTTCCCCGTTTCCACGCAGGCCGGCCGTCGCGCGTAACGATCAGCGGCGTCGACGTCACCGGGGCGCCGGGGGCGCGTCGCGTCATGTGATCGCCAGATCGCGTCACGTGACCGTCGGGCGGGCCGTGTCGTCACGCGAAAAAATGCCGGTCGTCGTACGTTCTGGATTCTAGAAAGCGAAGCGGAGTCACGTGACGGCGCAGACCGGTCGAAGCCGAGCGCGGACCGGTCCGACATACATAATAAAGGATTTATGCATGCGACGCGATGGCGTTTGATGACAGGTCGGTCGTCTTCGCTGTTTCGAAAGGAAAAAATGGCGCGCGCGTTCAAGGTCGGTCAAGTTGACGACGATACGCCGCTGGTTAAATTGGGGTTACGTCACGGATTGGAAAAATATTGGAGGTAATTGGCGGTGTTTGGATGTATTGTAGGAATTATTTTTGTGAAATTGTTGGTCTTGGTTACGTGATGTTAGAAAGAAATCTGACTCCGACGGTCTCGTGATTGTTTAACAATTAAGGTCGATTTGTGGTTAATTTATTCTCATGTGTTGAGCAACATGGAATTCATCTAAAGTGAATCATTTTTCTGATACATTTTGTAAAGTTATGCAACTCACTTTACGTAGTTTGAGATTTCATTGTCTGTCTGTCCGTCCGTCTGTCTGCCGTCTGTCCAAATTTTTATGCTCAAATCGAAAATTTTGCATTGATGCCAAAATAAGAAAAATAAAGTTACTAACTCAAACAACTACTCCAAATTCGCCGTCTCGTTCCACCGTTCTTTCCATCCCCACGACCTCCTCCATTGGCGAAATACCAATCTCCTTTCCCCCCACTCCTCCGATAATCCCTTTCGCAATTCCACTTTTCCATCGATTTCGTGCGTCCCGTCCCCGTTGCGTAAATTCCCCAAAACAACACCTAAACCCATTACAAAACACACGGTCTAAATTTACGCCTCATCGTCCTATAATTCTATTCTGAACCGCGTCCGCAAATACCCATCCAGCGCTATCACACCGCCTAATCTCCTATCCACCCACGAACGACCGGCTAAATGGGTCAATTCGCTCTCTAACAATAAGACTAACGCTATTTTTCTATAATAAAATGATCGCGCTTGTTTCAGCTGATGAAATGGGCGAAGAACGTGCTCGGCGAAAAGCTCTTCATCGCGGCGATGAAGGCGACGTTCTACGGTCACTTCGTCGCCGGCGAGGATCAATACAAAATACGGCCCACGTTGGAGAGGTTGAGGTCGTTCGGAGTCAAACCGATCCTCGACTACTCGGTCGAAGAGGACCTCTCACAGGAGGAGGCAGAGAAGCGGGAAGTCGAGTGAGTAGGGCTTGGGGTGTTGGGGTAGGGCAAGGATGGCTAGGATCGATGTCACTAGGTTTATAGTGTGGTTGAGGTTCGGACTGGGTATGTGAAACTGCGTACTTGTAAGCGTATGACGGACATTTACGATCGGGCAACATAATTTGTGATTGAGTCGTCGTTGGAAAAGATTAAGAATGTCGGTGATTATTAAAGCCAAAATAATAAATTGTCGCTTCAATCCATGAACCCCATCTTGTCAGAACAGGTTCTGGAGGCAACGGATAATCCGGTAAAGCTTTCCGGAAGACTTGGATCCTCGAAGGAGCTTTCAGAAATAGTCGCTTTACGTTGGAAATTAAACCATTGACATCTTCATATTGATTCCGGATAACTTCAGCTACTAAACTTAAGGCGTGAACCAAACATGCTACGTGAATTAAGTCGGGAAAAAATATTTTCAGATGCTTGCTACATTCAACCAAATAGGCAAAAGCAAGTAGGGTTCAAATGAAAGGATTTCCTCAGATTCACATTTATATACAAGTTTTCTATAAATGATAATAGGGTCGAAGTAAGTCATGGAAACGTGCCGCCTCTCAGTTTTGGACTTTACTAAATGGTCAAGGACTCACGACAAATATCACACTGGTGCCTAAATGCTTCATACCATATTAAAAAAGAAAACCAATTCATTAAACCAATTTATTGTAACATTTTTTCGTAAATACTCATTATCAATTTCATGGTTTTTTTTTTATTTTATTACTTCCCGAGCGTAAGCAAAGGAAGTATTGTAATCGAGTCCATCGGCCGACTCTCTATTATTAGACAGATAATCTCCAAAAGTACTGGACCGATTGTTGTCAAATTTTGTATTTATATTACGTATATCATGTAGATGGTAAAACGCTGAACAAAATTTGCCTAATCGTCCCCACCAATAATGGGATGACATCACTTCAAAATTGCATATAGTAAATGGGTTTTAGATTGTATTAAATAACATAGTCCTATACATGTAGTTTACGACTCCGTATTGACTTTTTACCCGAAACATCCAGATTTTTGAAAAAAAAAAAAAAATCAAAATCATAAAACAACATTTTGCAATATAATTTTGAATCTGCAAAGCCAAAAGCTTTGAAATCTTGCGCAGATGGTTTGCAGTCATCGTAAGCATGATAACATTTTTAATCAAAATATATTAACTTATCCCCTCCAAAAAATTGATGACGCCATCCCAAAATTTTGCTGAAAAAATGCTACCTTAAATGTGCTAAGTATGATGAGCCTATACTTGTGATTTATCACTGCATCAATATTTTTTAGATTTGCTTATACTGGGTGTCTGAAAAAAATTATGACTGGGTCAATTTATTATATTGATTGCAAGACTGAATACTTTAAAATCTTGACGTTTTGTGAGCATAGTAATTTTTTAGTCAACATGTATACGTTTATCAACCCCAAAAAATTGATCGTCATCTCAAAATCTTTCCGAATAATGAGTCCGTTTTTTAAACATTGTAAATTATATTAATTATGTTTAAAAATTATTTAATTATATTGTGAAAATTTATAGCGTTCACAGACCAACTTCAATCGTTTCGAAAATTTCCCCAAAATTTAAATATTATCGAGTAAACGAATCACGGAACCTGATAAATTAAAATTGAAGTCGTACTTACCCCGTTTTCGGTATTTTTTGGAAAAATATCCACTTTCGTTCGTGTTCACAGTACCAACATAACACATTTTCACTAATTTTTATTAATAATAAATTAGAAATTCGCGAAAATAAGCCAAATCGGAGCTCCGATGTTGCCGCAATCAGACCGAAATCTAAACAGAACACAAGGGGCCTAAAAATGTGACCTTTGCTCAGGTAGCTCACGTGACAGTGACGTCATCGTACGTCACGATGAGATTGCAGAAATTATTTTTCATATTTTGGCCGTGAAATTGCACATTTTCGGGGTTAATTTAATAATATTTAAACAAATTGGTTTGTTTTTAGTAACTTTGCGTTTTGAAAAAAACGGAGTTCGATTTAATTATCATACATTAATACTTATCGTATTTAAACATTACAAATACTATTAATTATGTTTAAATATTATTTAATTATGTCATGAAAATTTATAGCTTTGATCGACCAACTTCAATCCCCAAAATTTAAACTTTCTCGAGTAAACGATTTACGGAACCTGATAAATTAAAATTGAAGTCCTACTTACCCTGTTTTTGGTCTTTTTCGGAAAAATATCCATTTTCTTTCGTGTTCACAGCAAAAATACAACACATTTTCACTAATATCTATTAATAATAAATTAGAAATGAGTGAAAAGAGCCCTATTTTAAAGCCAAAACGGAGCTCTGATGTTGCTGCCACCAAACCGAAATCAAAACTAAACACAGAGGCCCGAAAAATGTGACCTTTTATCAGGTAGCTCACGTGACAGAGACGTCATCGTACGTCAGGATGAGATTGCAAAAATTATTTTTCATATTTTCACTCAGAAATTGTACATTTTCGGGGTTAATTTAACAATGTTTAAACAAACTAATTTGTTTTTGCTAACCTCGTGTTCCTAGGAAAATGATTTTCGATTTAATTATCATATATTAATAGTTATCATATTTAAACATTATGAATTATATTAATTATGTTTAAATTTTATTTAATTATATCGCGAAAATGTATAGCTTTGACCTACCAATTTCAATCGTTTCGAAAATTTTTCCAAAATTTAAACATTGTCGAATAAACGAATCACGGAATCCGATAATTTAAAACTGAAGTCGTACTTACCCTGTTTTCGGTCCTTTTCGGAAAAATATCCATTTTCTTTCGTGTTCACAGCACCAACACCACATATTTTCCGTAATATGTATTAATAATAACCTATAAATTCGCTAAAACGCTCCAATTTTACGCCAAAATGGAGCGACGATCTTGCCGCCATCAAACAAAAATTAATACTGAACACAAAGGACCGAAAAACGTGACCTTTATACAGGTAGCTCACGTGACATTGACGTCATCGTACGTCACGATGAGACTGCAAAAATTATTTTTCATATTTTGGCCGGGAAAATGCGCATTTTCGGGGATAATTTAACATTGTTTAAACAAATTGATTTGTTTTTAATACCATCGTGTTTTTAGTAAAACCGTTTTCGGTTTGATTATTATCATATATTAATAGTGTCTTACCATATTTGAGCATTATAAATAATGTTAATTACGTCTAAATTTTGTTTAATTATATCGTGAAAATGTATAGCTTTGACCGATCAACTTCAACCGTTTCGAAATTTTTTCCAAAATTTAAACATTGTCGAGTAAACGAATCACGGAACTTGATAAATTAAAACTGAAGTTACCATTTTAAATACGTATTGTCGTGAAAACATTGTTACGTATATCCAAAAAAAAGGCAAAATTTAAGTTCCGCCCTCCCACCGCCACATCAATTGTAGTGATGTTATTCGTTGTGAATATTGAAATTCTAAAAAATCGTTATATTTCATATTGTAAATTGTGGAGATGCGAGGGAAGTTCTGTCGAAACAATTTTCGACCAATTTTTTTATTCCATTACGCTCCCCAGCAGGCAAATCATCAACAACTTTCTCAGATACTGAAGTTCTTCCAGGAGATTTCCCTTTGTTCACACTGCCAGTTCGAACAAAATAAACCACGAAAACAAAAGTTTTCGTACGCAAGTACCAAGAGTTTTGAAAACGACTGTTTTGTTGTTCAGGTGTAAATGGTGGACCCCAAGGTTGGAAAAGTACCGCTAAATAAAACACAAAATTTGTGGAGGACACAAAATCATTTATTCCTCCACTGACAAAAAAAGAAAAAAGAAAAAAAAACTGCGTGCGAGGGTAACTCGTGACTTGCCCTCAGGCTTGGAATTAAAATCAAATTAAACGTTCTGAATCAATGCAAATATTTGAGCGCTAAGAGTGTGGCGGTCGAACTATGTCAATTTCATTCTAGAGCGGAGTTTGGGGCTCCCGGTCGGGGCTGTTCTCCTACCCACGACGGTGAGTCTATCTATCGCAAGCACTGCCGCAAAGCAATTCACCGCAGTTGGGTCCCGGCTATCACGAAGCCGACAGCGTTACGTCATCTCGACCGGCCATGAATTCTATTATAACCTGCATCGTTTGTACAGATGGCGCGATAAATCTCGCCAGCTCGACTAGGAACCGCGCACTCCGCTTATGCCACGTTTAACCTCAATTCCATGTTAAATGTTCAATTTCCATGACTATAACACTAACGACAACTGAACAAGTGTTAAAGTTTCAAAAGGCCAATACACAACATTTAAATTCGACATACAAACTTGTGAAATTTTAAACAACAAATAATTCTTATGTGGGATTAAAATTGGACATCAGATAATTTATACGATGGAAACATTCATCAACCAAACATTTACATAAAAAAAAAACTAGCAAAGATTTATGGTTAGAAACTGTAGCGCATGAAAATTTACGTTCAATTTAAATTATACAACAAAGAAAATTACTGAAGTTAAAAATTTGAGATAGAGAAAAATTGTATGAGGTGAAAAATTGCAAAGCCAACAAACTTACATGAGATTAATATTTGCCACACTTTATCAACAATTCAAATGTTGATTGGTTACTTAAAATAATTGTTAGCTTTGAGAATTTATAATTTCGTGAACTGCTTACCCCAAACAAAACACATGATAAATAAACACAAAAATATCCAGTCAGCGTTGCGAGGAATAAGTGTCTCGGTGATGTAATTTTTAGCGTTGCGAGGAAATGCCTCGGTGATGTAATGATGATAACGATGATCACTGCCCAGAAGAAGAAATGATTTTAACCCCCAGGCAGTTCACGATATTATGAATTTTGTTAATTTAACTGCCGTAAATGAACTATTAGCGATCTTGTGTGAGAAATTAAGAAGTGTTATAATGTAACACTTACGTATTAGCATCCAGAAACTTATTCATAATTAGACAAACAAAGTCCAACCAGTCCTGACTGAGTGAATTTCATGAAAACTCCTAGCAAATGTCTGTTACATTGTGTTAGAACCAGTTAACGATTAAAATCCTAACATGAACTGCGAATTTACAAACAATAAAACAAATTTAGAGCACGTGTCCGCGGTAGTCGAAAATTCGCATTTTTTTCTATTAAAAAACCGGAACTAAACTAACCAAGCTACCTTACCACGTGATTACACTGACACAAACACACCCAGACTGACGCTTTCACCTCCTTCTAACAAGCAGAACTACCAACTACCAGAAAAAGAACTAAACGTGCAAAGGACCTATTCTATAAAAAAATAATGTCAAAATCAGTTGTGTCTTAGCAAGTACCAGCCCCACCCACCCGCCCTCTGATTTCTCACAAGATAGGTTATTTGCCAAAATCAGTCTTATCTTAGCTAATACTAATATTTTGGCTAATGACATACCCTCTAAGAAAATAGAAGGCGGGTGAGCGTGACTAGTACTTGCTAAGATGAGACTTATTTTGGCAAATGACATATCCTCTGATAAAATAGAGGGTGGGTGGGAGGGGCTAGTACTTGCTAAGGTAAGACCTCCTTTGGCAAATGACATCCCCTGAGAAAATAGAGCGTGGGTGGGCGGCGCTAGCACTTGCCAGGATGAAACATATTTTGGCAAAGGACATATCCCCAGAGACAATAGAGGGTGGGGGGGGGGCTAATACTTGCCCGGATAAAACTTATTTTGGCAAAAAACCTATTCTCTAAGAAAATAATGTCAAAATCCGTTTTGTCTTAGCAAGTACTAGTCCCGCCCACCCGTCCCCTCTTTTCTTGGAGGGTATGTCATTTGCCAAAATCAGTTTTATCTCAGCAAGAACTAGCCCCGCCCACCCGCCCTCTCTTTTCTTAGAGGGTATGGAATTTGTCAGAAGCAGTTTTATCATAACAAGAACTAGCCCCGCCCACCCACCCTCTATTTTCTCACAGGATAGGTCGTTTGCCAGAATCAGTCTTATCTTAGCAAATACTAATATAGAATGAATTTTTTCTCAAATTCAAATTATTCAAACGTGATTTCGCGCCGCTGTTAAATAATTTCAGTGCGAAAATTTGATTCAAATTCGGTCACCACATTATCTATAATACATTTTTACATAAAGCGTAAATATGGTATAAATTACAAATTTTTACTTCCTGAGCGTAAGCAAAGGAAGTATTGTAATCGAGTCCATCGGCGTAACTCTCTACTTTTACGTTTTGTCGACCTTTCATGACCCTTACAGTACGAAGGTCTCCCGTTTCCGTCTGTCTGTCTGTCTGTCCGTCTGTCTGTTCGTCTGTCTGCCGTCCCGGATTTTTATTAAACAGTTAATTTTCGAAAGTACTGGACCGATTGTTGTGAACGTTTGTATTTATAATATATAGAATATCATGTAGATGGTAAAACGCTAACCAAAATTTGTCTACTCATACCCACCAATAATGTGATGACGTCACCTCAAAATTTTGCTGAATAAATCCCATCTTAAATGTGCAAAGTATGATGAGACAATACTTGTCATTTATGATTCCCTTCATATTTTTTGGATTTGCATATACAGGATGACTCAAAAAATTAATGAATGCGTGGATTAATTTTATTGATCCAATCAGGAACTACAAAACCGAATGCTTTGAAATCTTGTAGATATTTTAAAGTTATCATAGGCATGGTAAATTTTTGATCAAAATGTATTTGCTCATCCCCCCTAAAAAATTGTGTAAAGAAAAAACTCAATTCGAAAATGCTGTATGTTTCATTGTACGTCAGGAGCAAGGGAAGTTCTGTCGAAACAACTTTCGACCAATTTTTTGAATGAAAGTTTGTCATCTGTCACTGTTAAACTCGTGAATGAAGTGGATCGCCCGTCACTATCTAAATTGGAAATCTAACCTCAAATTATTAATAGACGTTAGATATATCTCAGTTTGCAGAAATATTGTACAATGATGACTAGAACTGTCCATGTTGATGACGTCATCACAAATTTTTTATTGGCCAAATTAAGAACAAGTCACCCCATTTTCTCGAAAATGTGAGAAACACGTCTTTATGATAACAATGATAAAATAAGAACTATAATATTCAGAACTTTCGTTCCATTGTGGTTTAATTAATAATTTTAGTCTGCGTGACATTCTTTCGATGTATTAACATAAATAAACGCTTAAGCTTCAGATTGCGGTGGTCGAGGTGGTAATACGGTCGACATAAAATTCCTTTGGAAAGGTCGAACTTATTTGAGCTGTTGCGTCGTCATGCTGAAAAAATCCATTCTGTAATTCTTTAGGATCAAGCTAGTCAATGAATTTTTGCAGCGTGTTTTGATATTCTTTCATTTTTCTGGATGTAAAGGCGTCTGTTCAAAATAATGAGGATTTTCTGCACTCTATATCCTCATTATAGGCAACCCACTCTTTAATTTTGATTTCAAGATTAAGTTGAGCTGAGTCGCCCTGACCTAACTTGAGAGAACCTGACTTGACCTGACGACACCTGACCTGAGTAAAGTTAACCTGACTTGACTTCGTGACATTGTTATGAAAAAAAAAAGTTACTGCGACCTATGTAAAACAAAACAGAAAATCCAAACCTCACACACCTCTCTTTTTCCAGAGCCTCCGTCCCCGAAGGCGGCGACAAAGTCGAACAGGGTTCCCTCAAACAATACCACGTGGACAAAACATTCGCCGATCGTCGTTACAAAGTCCAATCCGCACGTACCTACTTCTACTTGAACGAAGCCACTTGCGAACGAAACATGGAGACCTTCATCCGATGCCTGGAGGCCGTAGCGGGTCAGTCTCCCATCATTCTTTGCTTTTTTCTTTTTCGTTTTTTTTTTTTTATTTATTAAATTTCGAAAACTGACCCCAACCACCGACCCACGAACCGTCCTCGCTAGACTTGGCATAACACCTGAACAGGTGTCTATTATTGTGTGCGTCCTTGATGGCCACCGCTATGTGGTATTTTTAGCAGGCGTTGCAGCATCCGAAGACGTTTCGGGGGGTCACAATTTTCGAAATAGACGATTTGTTTTGATAACCCATTTGTTTCTGTTCCTTAGACTTTCAGAAGCATCCATCAGGTAAAGTAACCGTTTTTGACAGGGACGTGTTGTGAGAGAAAGAGAGAGAGAATGGGCGCGAAAAGGGTTCCCTGCGAGTCGGGGAACGAGCTTTGAGCTGTTGCGTAAGCCCATTTTTTTATCAGTTCGTTGGTATTTTTGGGTCTAGGGGCCAGCACTAGGTTTTTTTGTTTTTTATTTTTAGATCTCTGTTTTTTTTTTTTTTTTTTGTTGTCGTAGGGTATAGCTGCTATTTAGGGGCACTAGATGAGACTAGGGTTCGCGGAGGCACTTTTAGTTTTAGTTCTAGTTCTAATTTTAGTTGTTGGTGTCTTTTTTTATAGTTGCATTTGTTTCGTATAAAATTCCACAGGTAAGTGTCGATAATTCAACCAACAAAAACCAAAAAGATATCTTTAGATTATCTTCTTTGTTATTCATTGTACGTTGTGTAATTGTTTTGGGATTTAAGGAAATCGTGTTGGCACCAAAACGATGAACACAGTTCAACAATTCTGTCGTTGATTTATATACAGTATTTATAAGTGTCATATTTGTGCTTGGAATTTTTATTCTTTTCGAACTCAATAACAAAGCCACTTGGCTTTTGCTTTTTTTAGTTACGGCGTTTTACAAAAGTGGGGAATTAAAAAATTTGATTCCTTGTTTTTGGAAAACTGTATACTTGTGTCTACGCTTCGCTGGTAGTTTTTTCAGTTTTCTATTCTTGTTTGCGTAGATCGCTATGGTAAGTTTTTGAGTTCACTGCACTTTTTTTCGTCTATGTGTAATCAACCTCTATACCGGGTGTCTGAAAATGGCGGATTAACTCTTGAGTACGTCGTGTACGGGAGTTTCGGGCGTGAGTGGGCGGGGCTTCGTTGCCAAATTGTCGTAACTTTGATGTTCAACTTTTGCCGTATTTAAACGGCTTGTAGAAGAAAAGTGGAGGATTTAAGCTGATTACTACAAAAATTTATCTTTTTAGACATGTTTTAAGTTTCTTGTTGTCGAAATAAGTCTACACATATTAAGAAGAAAAGGCAAAATGTAGCCCCACCCGCCCTATCTCAGTTGTGACGAATTTTTCATTCGTTGTCAGATTGAGGGGCGGGGCTTAATTGCAAGATATTTGTCTACAAGAATTTTATCAGTTTAAACATGCTTTAAGTTTCTTGTTCTCAAAAGACGACTACGTATATTAAGAAAAAAGGCAAAATATAAGCCCCGCCCACCCGCCCTATCTCAATTCTGATGATCCGATTTTTATTCGTCGTAAGCCGAGGGGCGGAGTTTTAATTGCAAAATCCACATTTCCTTACAAACATTTTAATATTTTAGACGTGGTTTAAGTTTCTAAGATAAAAAAATTATCACAATCGAGATGGGGTGGGTGGGCGGGGTATATATTTTCCCTTTTTTTGTTAATATGCCTAGTATTCTTTGAACAACGCGATACTCAAAAACATGTTTTTTATTGTAGAAAAATCAGAATTTTGCAATTAAGCTCCGCCCCCTTGGCTCACGGCGAATAAAAAAATCATCACAATCGAGATAGGGCGGGTGGGCGGGCTTACTTTTTACCTGTTTGTTTTAGTATGTGTAGACTTCTTTTCATTACATGAAACTTAGAACATGTTTAAACGGAAAATTTGTAGAAGGAAATTTCGACATTGCAATTAGGCGCCGCCCCATAATTGTAAAATCTATATTTCCTTGCAAAAATGTACCATTTTAACCATGTTCTAAGTTTCTTGTTGTGAAAAGATGGCTATGTATATTAAGAAAAACAAAGGCAAAATATAAGCCCCGCCCACCCACCCTATCTCAATTCTGATGATCCGTTTTTTAGTCGTCGTAAGCAGAGGGGTAAAGCTTAATTGCAAAATCCATATTTCCTTACAAAAATTTACCATTTTAAAGGTGTTTTATGTTTCTAAGATAAAAAAAAAATCATTACAATTGAGATCGGGTGGGTGGGCGGGGCTTATATTTTCCCTTTTTGTCCTAATATGCCTAGTATTCTTTGAACAATGCGATACTCAAAAACATGTTTTTTATTTCTTGTAGAGAAATAAGGATTTTGCAATTAAGCTCCGCCCCCTTGGCTCACGACGAATAAAAAAAATCATCACAATCGAGATAGGGTGGGTGGGCGGGCTTACCTTTTGCCTTTTTGTTTTAGTATGTGTAAACTTCTTTTCATAACATGAAAATTAAAACACGTTTAAATGGAAAATTTGTGTTAGGAAATATAGATTTTGCTATTAGGCGCCGCCCCATAATTGCAAAATCCATATTTCCTTGCAACAATCTACAATTTTAACCATATTCTAAGTTTCTTGTTGTTAAAAGATGCCTATGTATATTAAGAAAAAAAAAGCAAAATATAGGCCCCGCCCACCCGCCCTATCTCAATTCTGATGATCCGTTTTTTAGTCGTCGTAGCCGAGGGGTAAAGCTTAATTGCAAAATCCATATTTCCTTACAAAAATTTTAATATTTTAAACGTGGTTTAAGTTTCTAAGATAAAAAAATTATCACAATCGAGATGGGGTGGGTGGGCGGGGTATATATTTTCCCTTTTTTTGTTAATATGCCTAGTATTCTTTGAACAACGCGATACCCAAAAACATGTTTTTTATTGTAGAGAAATAAGAATTTTGCAATTAAGCTCCGCCCCCTTGGCTCACGACGAATAAAAAAATCATCACAATCGAGATAGGGCGGGTGGGCGGGCTTACTTTTTACCTGTTTGTTTTAGTATGTGTAGACTTCTTTTCATTACATGAAACTTAGAACATGTTTAAACGGAAAATTTGTAGAAGGAAATTTCGACATTGCAATTAGGCGCCGCCCCATAATTGCAAAATCTATATTTCCTTGCAAAAATGTACCATTTTAACCATGTTGTAAGTTTCTTGTTGTGAAAAGATGGCTATGTATATTCAGAAAAACAAAAGCAAAATATAAGCCCCGCCCACCCACCCTATCTCAATTCTGACGATCAGTTTTTTAGTCGTCGTAAGCCGAGGGGTAAAGCTTAATTGCAAAATCCATATTTCCTTACAAAAATTTACCATTTTAAAGGTGTTTTATGTTTCTAAGATTAAAAAAAATCATTACAATTGAGATGGGGTGGGTGGGCAGGGTTTATATTTTCCCTTTTTTTCCTAATATGCCTAGTATTCTTTGAACAATGCGATACTCAAAAACATGTTTTTTATTTCTTGTAGAGAAATAAGGATTTTGCAATTAAGCTCCGCCCCCTTGGCTCACGACAAATAAAAAAAATCATCACAATCGAGATAGGGTGGATGGGCGGGCTTACATTTTGTCTTTTTGTTTCAGTATGTGTAGACTTAAATGGAAAATTTGTGTAAGGAAATATCGATTTTGCCATTAGGCGCCACCCCATAATTGCAAAATCTATATTTCCTTGCAAAAATGTACCATTTTAACCATGTTCTAAGTTTCTTGTTGCGAAAAGATGGTTATGTATATTAGGAAAAAAAGGCAAAATATAAGCCCCGCCCAGCCACCCTATCTCAATTCTGATGATTCGATTTTTATTCGTCGTAAGCCGAGGGGCGGAGCTTACTTGCAAAATCTAAATTTCCTTACAAAAATTTACCATTTGAAACGTGTTTTGAGTTCCTAAGATTAAAAAAAATCATCACAATTGAGACGGGGTGGGCGGGCGGTTTTTTTTCCCCTTTTTTTTTCTTAATATACCTAGTATTCATTGAACAACGTAATACTCAAAGCATGTTTTTTAATTCTTGTAGAAAAATAAGAATTTTGGTATTAAGCTCACAACGAATAAAGAAATCATCACAATCGAGATAGGGCGGGTGGGCGGGCTTACATTTTGCCTGTTTGTTTTTGTATGTGTACACTTCTTTTCATTACATGAATTACATGATTTATTACTGCGTCTTATATATTTTTAGTTTTCTTTCTTTTTTTGCTGAGTATTTTCTATGTTTAAAGTTGATAGTTATTGCGATTTTTTAAATATTTCTATTGAAAGGCGTTTACTTGTTTAAATTCCATGTAACTTGATTTTTTACTTTTTTTTTAAGAGACACATTAACACATTAGAAAAATGAGGACAAGGAATACAGTAAGATGCAGTAATAAAGTACAGGCGTGCCATTTAAATAAACTGAAATATCGATATTTGAAAATTGTAGTTTTAGAATTGTTTATAAACACCCTGTATTATTAATATTTGATTTAGTTGATACCACAACAAAGCGAGCACCTTTATTTAGCCTAAGAATACGTGAGTCAAAATATGTAAAAATATATAGGGTATTTTATAAAAAAAAAACAAGTTACGTGTTACGTCTTAAAAACATGAGTACATATGTTAAGAAAAAAGGCAAAATATAAGCCCCGCCCACCCGCCCTATCTCAATTGTGATTAAAATTATTATAACTCCACCAAAATGTGAGAAGGATTTTTTTACTATTTTTCCCAGACTCCCCAGTTGATTGTTAAGAGCGTAGCGAAAAGTTAATCCGCCATTTTCCAAACACCCGATATAATTCCTAACTTACTCGATTTGATTTTTTTAAGCCAAAGTCAACTTTTTTTGTTAAATGTGTTCACGTGTACAGGGGTGTTGTCTTAAATTTGTCTCGATGATCTCTAATCAGTTTTACTTGTGTTTCTTAAGTATTTATATCGATATTTTAAACCAGCCTAAGGGTGCAACGCGTGCTGAACACTTAAATTTGACACGAACGTAAACCGTGACGCCCTTTTTGTGCGAGAGCGTAAATCTGGGGTTTTTAGGCAAGACTTAATTAAAGAGGGTCGCTTTTGTTCCTTTCGAAATTAAAAAGGTCGAGTCATCAAACGCCCCAGAATCACGGTGACCGAAACTAATACAGTTATAAATTGTCAAAAAGGTCACGCGTAGATAAAGGACCGCAGATCAAACAAGAACGTACGAGGGACCGAAATGAATACATAAATTGAGTAAGAGGGTCCCGGGTAAGTAAAAGCCGCAAATGGAACATGCTTGTTCAAAGGACCGGGAAACTCCGTTTCGACGCTACGAATAAATAAATAACCGGAGAGATATTGTAGGTTTCTATGACGATGACGGTGTCAATTAGCAGAACATCTGGATTTTAACATAAAGTTAATGACGCATTCTTGTTGCTTATTAATTAACATTATTGAACAAATTGTTTATGAATATATTAGCATAACATGAATTAAAACATTTCTTAAATTACATAAAAATTTGAGTACTGTAGTAAATGAACAATTTTCCGGCGTATTTCATAGTTGACTTTGTAAATGTTCGTCACCACGCCACCATGAATAGCGAAATGGTTTATTTTCCACACAACTAATCACAAGGTCAATATCTTTTAAACGTGTCATAAATATCAATGTACATCTTACGTAACAATATCTATTACTGAGATTGATCTGATTGAAACCAGGCTTCTACGTTTAGAAAAATTGGGAGCAGTGCCGTGTCGGATTGTTTTAAAATTAAATTTCCCCCTTCAAGCTAAAATCAATTACGTTCACAGAATTTCATGAAAGACACACCCTGTACACGAAAGTGACCGAAACTGACAGGACCACATTGTCCCTTCGTGCTTTTCCGCTAAATCGTTACTTTTTTGTCCGCAGGTGCCACATACGGCACTGGCATCACAGCCATCAAACTCACCGCCCTCGGTAGGCCCCAACTCTTGGTAAGTCCGCCCCTGTCCCGCTAATAACAAACCCCTAAACCAACTTACCGTCGACAGCTTCAACTGTCTGAAGTAATCATGCGCGCCCGTAAATACATGACGGAAATCGTAGGCGGCGAAGGCAACGTCTTATCTCACCACATGACCATCCAAGATCTCGAACAGAAGCTGTCCAAAATCAAAGACCAAGAATCGGTTAAGAAGTTCCTCACTCAGATCACCGCGGACAAGCAAGGGTGAGCCTCGAAACGCCCCCTTAACTTATTTCCCGCCCCTCTCATGTCTACGTCGTGTTGACGTGTGGTTGGTTTGTGTTTTAAGGGTTCCGCACGGAGGGCGCTAGTGAGTATCGACAGTTTTGAACACCCTGTAGGTATACTCGCTAGCTGCTTCTTCGCTCGGGACGTAACACATCCTCTCCATGTTAGTTTTCTCTTGTCCCACGATCCCGTTGAAATTTTTTTTTGGAGTGGCCGTTTAGAGCAGCGCCATCTATTGTTGACAGTTATTGAAATAGACGTTGTTGTTGGTCGCAGTATCCTGCACTTGTTCCCGTGGTCAGGCATCATCGACGAGAACCAAGAATTGAGCAATACGTTCCGGGTGCCGGATCTGAAGACGGGGAGGATGTCGAGGTTGATCACGCAGCTGTCGCCGAAGGAGGAGGAGATGTTCAGGAACATGATCAGGAGGATGAACACCATTGTTAAGGTATAGTCTCTTAAAAACACACATGCCAAAATTGACAGCTGTGGTCTGACATGTTAGCACTGCTACCAATAATTGAGAATTGTCAACACAAAATATTTGCTTCCATTATTAATAGTCACCTGGTAGCTTCATTGAGTTTCCTAATAGAACCAGTGTAATATATGTTTTTAAGATTGGTAGTTATTACAAATGTCACTGTCAAAATATAAAAAAAATTAAAATTTTATGGTGGTATGTTAGATTGTCAAATGTGCATGTAAAATGTCAAAATTGCTAACTGTGAACTGACACTCCAGGATTACCACCAATTATTCAAAATTGCCAATACAAAAATTTGCTTCAATCATTAACGATCATCTCGCTTTTGACAAATGAGTTAGAAAACTGTCAAACCAAGCCGAAAAGATCGTGAATGGATAACACAGAATGTTGGTGAATTTTTTGTCAGGTTGGCGACATATTTAATATTTTATGTTGGCATACCTGATTGCCAAATTGACATCTATGACACCAAATTAGTAAGTAGGTGCCATCATCACAATAAGTTTGTTAGGCACGCTTATGTGAAAATTCATAACTGTGAACTAATATACAAACATTGCTACCAACAATTCAGAATTGCCAACACAAAAATTTGCGTCAGTTATTAACGGTCATCCGGTATTTAATAAATGAAGTAGAAAACTGTCAAACCAGACCGAAGTAATTGTTAGACTACTGACAGACAAAAAAAAAACTATACTTACCATCGAATCAGTTTGTCCAACATTAAGAAAAAATATCATTGCTTACTTTACTTTGGAAATATTCTGAAGGGATAATATTCAATAAATGAAGTAGAAAACCGTCAAACTACTGACAAATAACTAATGACCGAATCAATTTGTCCAACATGAAGAAAAACATATCAGAGCCTGCTTTATTTTGAAAGTTGTGAATGGATAATACTGAATGATTGTCAATGTTAGTGATTTTTTTTGTCAAGTTGGCAACATATTTAATATTTTATGTTGGCTTATCTGATTGTCAAATGGAGATTTATGACAACAAGTCAGTACCTGCTGTTACCTCAACAAGTTTTTAAGGCACGTTTATGTCAAAATTGACAGCTGTGAACTGACATACAAGCATTGCTGCCAATAATTCAGAATTGCCAACACAAAAATTTGCTTTAATCATTAACAGTCATCTGGTATTTAATAACTGAAGTAGAAAACTGTCAAACGAGGCCAAAGCAATTATCAGACTACTGACAGACAAAAAATTATACCTACCATCGAATGAGTTTGACCAACATGAAGAAAAAATATCAATACCTTCTTTGCTTCGAAAGGGTCGTCAATGGATAATACAGAGTGCTTATTAATGTTAGTGATTTTTTTCGTCAGGTTGGCAACATATTTAATATTTTATGTTGGCATACCTGAATAGCAAATTGACATTAGTGACACCAAGTCAGTAAGTGCCATCATCTCAATAAGTTTGTAAACCACGCTTATGTCAAAATTGACAATTGTGAACTGACATACAAGCATTGCTACCAATAAATCAGAATTGCCAACACAAAAATTTGCTTCAGTAATTAACAGTCATCCGATATTCAATAAATGAAGTAACACTACTAACAGACAAAAAAACTATACTCACAGTCGAATCAGTTTATCCAACGTGAAGAAAAAAAATCCATGCCTACTTTACTTTAAAAATATTCTGAATGGATAATATTCAATAAATGAAGTATAAAACTGTCAAACTACTAACACACAAATATATGACCGAATCAGGTTGTCCAACATAAAGAAAAAATATCAGTCCCTGCTTTACTTCGAAAGGGTCGTGAATGGATAATACTGAGTGATTATTAATATTAGTGATTTTTTTGTCAGGTTGGCCATATTCAATATTTTACGTTGGCATATCTGATTGTATAATTGACATTTATGACAGCAAGTCAGTAGCTGCCATCATCTCAGTAAGTTTGTTAGGCACGCTTATGTGAAAATTCGCAACTGTGAACTAACATACAAACATTGCTACCGACAATTCAGAATTGCCAACACAAAAATTTGCGTCAGTTATTAACGGTCATCTGGTATTTAATAAATGAAGTAGAAAACTGTCAAACCAGGTCGAAGTAATTGTTAGACTACTGACAGACAAAAAAAAACTATACCTACCATCGAATCAGTCTGTCCAACATTAAGAAAAAATATCAATGCTTATTTTACTTTAGAAATATTCTGAAGGGATAATATTCAATAAATGAAGTAGAAAACTGTTAAACTACTGACAAATAACTAATGACCGAATCAATTTGTCCAACATGAAGAAAAAATATCAGAGCCTGCTTTATTTTGAAAGTTGTGAATGGATAATACTGAATGATTGTCAATGTTAGTGATTTTTTTGTCAGGTTGGCAACATATTTAATATTTTATGTTGGCATATCTGATTGTCAAATGGACATTTATGACACCAAGTCGGTACCTGCTGTTACCTCAACAAGTTTTTAAGACACGTTTATGTCAAAATTGACAGCTGTGAACTGACATACAAGCATTGCTGCCAATAATTCAGAATGGCCAACATAAAAATTTGCTTCAATAATTAACAGTCCCTGCTTTACTTCGAAAGGGTCGTGAATGCATAATACTGAGTGATTATTAATATTAGTGATTTTTTTGTCAGGTTGGCCATATTCAATATTTTACGTTGGCATACCTGATTGTCTAATTCACATTTTTGATAGCAAGTCAGTATCTCAATAAGTTTGTTAGGCACGCTTATGTGAAAATTCACAATTGTGAACTGATATACAAGCATTGCTACCAACAATTCAGAATTGCCAACACAAAAATTGGCTGCAGCTATTAACAGTCATCTGGTATTTAATAATTCAAGTAGAAAACTGTCAAGCGAGGCCGAAGCAATTGCCAGATGACTGACAGACAAAAAATTATACCTACCATGGAATCAGTTTGTCCAACATGAAGAAAAAAATATCCGTGGCTGCTTTACTTCGGAAGGGACGTGACTGGATAACACTGAGTGATTTATTAATGTTAATGATTTTGTCCGGTTGGCAACATGTTTAATATTTTATGTTGGCATACCTGATTGCCAAATTGACATTTATGACACCAAGTCGTAGCTACCATCATCTCAATAAGTTTGTTAGGCACGCTTATGTGAAAATTCACAACTATGAACTGACATACAAGCATTGCTACCAACAATTCAGAACTGCCAACACAAAAATTTGCTTCAGTCATTAACAGTCATCTTGTATTTAATAATTGAAGTAGAAAACTGTCAAACGAGGCCGAAGTAATTGTCAGACTACTGATAGACAAAAAATTATACCTACCATGGAATCAGTTTGTCTAACATGAAGAAAAAACTGTCCGTGCCTGCTTTACTTCGGAAGGGACGTGAATGGATAATACTGAGTGATTATTAATGTTAATAATTTTGTCAGGTTGGCAACATATTTACTATTTTATGTTGGCATACCTGATTGCCAAATTGACATTTATGATACCAAGTCGTAGCTGCCATCATCTCAATAAGTTTGTTAAGCACGCCTTATGTCAAAATTCACAACTAACTGTAAAGTGACATACAAGCATTGCTACCAACAATTCCGAATTGCCAACACAAAATTTGCTTCAGCCATTAATAACAGTCATGTGGTATTTAATAAATGAAGTAGAAAACTGTCAAACCAGACCGAAGTAATCGTTAGACTACTGACAGACAAAAAAAAACTATACCTACCATCGAATCAGTTTGTCCAACATGAAGAAAAAATATCAATGATTATTTTACTTTGGAAATATTCTGAAGGGATAATATTCAATAAATGAAGTACAAAACTGTCAAACTACTGACAGATAACTAAAGATTGTATCAATTTGTCTAACATGAAGAAAAAAATATCAATATCTGCTTTACTTGGAAAAGATCGTCAATGGATAATTCTAAGTGACAGTTAATGTTGGTGATTTTTTTGTCACGTTGGCAATATATTTAATATTTTATGTTGACATACCTGATTACCAATATGACACCAAGTCAGTAGGTGGCATCATCTCAATAAGTTTGTTAAGCACGCTTATGTCAAAATTCACAACTAACTGAACTGATATACAAGCATTGCCAACAACAATTCAGAATTGCCAACACAACAATATCCTTCAGTCATTACCAGTCATCTGGTATTTAATAAATGAAATAAGAAAACTGTCAAACGAGGGCGAAATAATCGTTAGACAACTGACAGACAAAAAACTATACCTACAATCGAATGAGTTTATCCAATTTGAAGAAAAAATATCAGTGCCTGCTTTACTTCGAAATGGTCATGAATGGATAATACTGAGTGGTTATTAATGTTAGCGATTTTTTTGTCACGTTGGCCATATATTTAATATTTTATGTTGGCATACCTGATTACCAAATTGACATTTATGACACCAAGTCAGTAGGTGCCATCATCTCAATAAGTTTGTTAAGCACGCCTTATGTCAAAATTCACACTAACTGTGAACTGACATACAAGCATTGCCAGCAACAATTCAGAATTGCCAACACAACAATTTGCTTCAATGCCTACTTTACTTCCAAAATGTCGTGAATGGATAATATTCAATAAATGAAGTAGAAAGCTGTCAAACTACTGACAGATAACTATACCACCGAATTAGTTTGTCCAACATGAAGAAAAAAAATCAATACCTACTTTACTTGGAAAAGATAGTTAGTAGATAATACTGAGTGACAGTTAATGTTGGTGTTTTTTTTTTGGCAAGTTGGCGACATATTTAATATTTTGTGTTGGCATACCTGATTACGAAATTGACAGTTATGACACCAAGGCAGTAGGTGCCATCATCTCAATAAGTTTGTTAAGCACGCCTTATGTCAAAATTCACAACTAACTGTGAACTGACATGCAAGCATTGCCAGCAACAATTCAGAGTTGCCAACACAACAATTTGCTTCAGTCATTAACAGTCATCTGGTATTTAATAAATGAAGTAAGAAAACTGTCAAACGAGGGCGAAGTAATCGTTAGACAACTGACACAAAAAACTATACCCACGATCGAATCAGTTTGTCCAACATAACGAAAAAGGATCAATGCCTAATGGCCTACTTTATTGACAGACAACTATACAACCGAATCAGTTTTTCCAACATGAAGAAAAAAATATCAGTGCCTGCTTTACTTCGAAATGGTCATGGATAATACTGAGTGATTACTAATGCTAGCGATTTTTTTGTCAGGTTGGCAACACATTTAATATTTTATGTTATCATATCTGATTGTCAAATTGACATTTATGACACCAAGTCGGTACCTGCTTGTTATCTCAACAAGTTTGTAAAGCACGTTTATGTCAAAATTGACAGCTGTGAACTGACATATAAACATTGCTGCCAGTAATTCAGAATTGCCAACACAAAAATTTGCATCAATCATTAACAGTCATCCGATATTTGATAAATGAAGTAGAAAACTGTCGAACGAGGCCGAATAATTGCCAGATGACTAGCAGAGAAAAACTAACCATCGAATCAGTTTGTCCAACATGAAGAAAAAATATCAATACCTGCTTTACTTGAAAAAGATCGTTGATGGAAAATACTAAGTGACAGTTAATGTTGGTGATTGTTTTTGTCAAGTTGGCGACATATTTAATATTTTATGTTGGCATACCTGATTACCAAATTGACATTTATGACACCAAGTCAGTAGGTGCCATCATCTCAATAAGTTTGTGAAGCACGCCTTATGTCAAAATTCACAACTAACTGTGAACCGACATACAAGCATTGCCAGCAACAATTCAGAGTTGCCAACACAAAAAATTGCTTCAGTCATTAACAGTCATCCCATATTTAATAATTGAACTAGGAAACTGTCAAACCAGGCCAAAGTAATTGTTAGACTACTGATAGACAAAAATCTATAGCTACCATTGAATCAGTTTGTCCAACAAAATGAAAAAATCTCAATCTCTACTTTACTTTGAAAACATTCTGAATGGATAATATTCAATAAATGAAGTAGAAAACTGAAGGAAAAATATCAGTGCCTACTTTACTTTGAAAGGATCGTGAATGGAAAATACTGGGTGATTATTAATGTTAGTGTTTTTTTTTATCAGGTTGGCATCATACAGTATTTTATGTTAGCACACCTGATTGCCAAGTTGACATTTATGACAATTCAGTAACTACCGTCATCACAAGAAGTATGTTAGGCATTGCTACCATAAATTCAGAATTGCCAACCCAAACATTTGCTTTAGTCATCTGGTATTAAATGAATGAAGTAGAAAACTGTCAAACTACTGACATACAACTATACCTCGATATCAGTTCATGCAACATGATGAAAACATATCAATGCCTGCTTTACTTCGAAAACATGATGGATAATACTGAGTGGCAATTAATGTTGGTGATTTTTTTGTCAAGTTGCCAATATGTTTAATATTTTATGTTGGCATACCTGATTCCCAAATTGATATTTATGACACCAATTCGGAGGCTGTTATCATCTCAACTAGTTTTTTTAGGCGCGCTCATATCAAAATTGACAACTAAGGTTTGACATGCGAACATTGCTGCCAGTAATTCAGAATTGCCAACACAAAAATCATTAATAATTACCCGGTGACTTCACTGAGAGTCGTAATACAACTGGCGTAATTTATGTTGTCAAAATTGGTAGTTATTACAAATGTCATTGTCAGATAATAATAACGTTTAAAATGATTGCATAACTGGTTGTCAAATGGACATTTATGACACTAAATCAGTAGCTGTCATCTTCTGAAAACGTTTGTTGTACACGCCCATGTCAAAATTGACAACTGTGAATTGGCATACCACGAATACAGAATTGCCAACACAAAATCTACTTAAATAATTAATAGTGACCCGCTAGCTTCATTGAATTTTGTAATAGAACTAGTATAATTTATTTTTTCAAATGTCGATGTCAAGTAATAATGAAGTTATAATTTTATGGTGGCATTCTTGATTGTCAAATAGACATGAATGACACAAAGTTATCATTAGTCAAAATTGACAACTATGAACTGACGTGCTGACATTGTTGTCACTAATTCAGAATTGGCAGTACAAAATAGGATGAATCATTAATACTTACCTGGTAGCTTCACTGAGAGTCGTAATAGAACTGGTCTAATTTATGTTCTCAAGGTTGGTAATTATTACAAATGTCACTTTCAGATAATAAAAGTTAAAATGTTATGATGGCTTACCTGATTGTCAAATGGACATTTATGACAACAAGTCATTAGTAGCTGACATCTTCGCAAGGCGTTAGTTAGGCGCGCTCATACCCCGTGATCAGAAATGACTGAGTCTGTTGGCAATCCTGGATTTGAAATTGGTATCATGATGGTTTCTATAATTTTCGGTTGTCAGCTGTCAAGATTGACAGATTGTTGACATATTTGTAATTTGCACAATGTTTCCAAAAGATAACCTGAATTTATCGTATATCACAATTACTTCCGTTATGCCTACATAAAGTTTTAGGAAAAGTACTACCGCTACCAACAGATTCGGTCATTTCTGATCTCGCTATGCAACGTGAACTGATATGGCAGGAATTCAGAATTGCCAACACAAAAAATTGTTTCAAGTGAAAAACATGGTGATATTTGTCCGCACGCAACATGAAGCTTTTAAATTAAGCATCAAATTCGATTGGTGGATTTTGTGGCGCCAAATTCTAAATTTGCGAAAATTAGCCGAAATGAGTCATTGTGGCCAATCTCAATTTGAGTGCGGACAAATATTCCCATTTTTTACCTCCATTTCTTAGTCATTTATTTTTTCAAAACACTCAACCAAGGAAAATAACTAAACAAACTAAGTCAACCTCAGTGTCGCCAACATGCATACAAAAAAAACACTAGTTTCTTCGGTAGTTTTATTCATAAAAATAAAAACTAATAGAAAACAATAATACAAAAACCCGAATTTTTGCAGGCTGCTCAGGACATGGACGTCCGCATCATGGTGGACGCCGAACAGACCTATTTCCAGCCAGCCATCACCCGTATCACCCTGGAATTCATGCGAAAATACAACAAAGAGAAAGCTATAGTGTTCAACACGTACCAGTGCTACCTTCGGAACGCCTTCGACGAGGTCACGACCGACCTGGAGCAAGCGAAAAGACAGAATTTCTACTTCGGGGCGAAATTAGTCCGCGGCGCCTACCTCGAACAGGTTCGCCAACCGACAACCCCCAGATCTCTAGATCGTTACGAGTAAAATTTTCCAGGAGAGGGCCCGCGCGGCAGCCCTGGGATACCCCGACCCCACTAACCCCAGTTTCGAAGCGACCTCCGACATGTACCACAAAACGCTCACCGAGTGCTTGAGGCGGATCAAAGCCTTCAAGGACTTGGGTGAAGAAAAGAAGATCGCCATAATGGTGGCCTCGCATAACGAAGACACTGTCCGCTTCGCCATCCAGAAGATGAAGGAGTTCGGCATCGAGCCCGAGGACAAGGTCATCTGTTTCGGCCAGCTGTTGGCCATGTGCGACTACATCACTTTCCCGTTAGGTGAGTGGACCCGAGGTGGCGCAGTCGGTGGGATTGACGTCGAGTTCGGTTTCAGGTCAGAGTGGGTACTCGGCTTACAAATATATTCCGTACGGGCCTGTCAACGAGGTGCTGCCGTACCTGTCCAGAAGGGCCCACGAGAACAAGGGCGTGCTGAAGAAGATCAAGAAGGAGAAGAGGTTACTGGCGAGCGAGATCCTAAGGCGTTTCGCAACCGGAAAATGGTGGTACACACCAAAGGGCGACTACACCCCTGTCTAAAGGTGAGAGGGTGGGGGGTAGGTGGCGTGTTGTCGGTTTGTTGAAGGTGTTGTTTTCTGCAGGGAAGAGGAACGACCCGAAGTACTTTTTTAAACGAGCCTCCGTGGGGTACCGAACCTATTTTAGATAAGTAGTTGCAAAAATACAGTAAAAGACAGTCCACCGGAAACAAAGTCACGTCTGTGTGGGATCGTTCGTCCAGAAATAAAAAGTAGGTTAAGAGTATGAAAAGTCTGAATTTTATTAAGGACAATATTAAATAATCCGTAAGAGTTAACAGTTTCGCCAGGACGAAATTTTTCACACAGATCCGGATTGAGTTAGTGCTTAGTAATTAAAATTTAGTTAGACTATGAAAATTATGTACAGATGTTCAGTGTGCGTTTTAAAACAAAAGAAAACCCAAAAAAAGTACGCGCGTCTGCCCGACTCGGTCGGAGTGTGATTGTGGAGGTTTACGTTTCTTGTCTTTTTTTTTTTTTTAATTCGTTTCGTCGACTTAAATGTTATTTTGGGGAGGCAAACAAAGCACGGCGTACAGAACGAATTCGATGTAAATTGAGTATTAACCTATTGTAAGATATTGACGGTGAATCTTAGTAATTTATTAGTTTGTTGAAATTTGTATCATTTTTATAGCCTGTGATGATAGAATTTTTTTCTGTAAAAAATGTCAACTGAATCTGCCTTTGAGTATTTTTTAAATTGTTTAGTTTGGTGTGATTGAATAAATTTAATTGAAGTAATGTTGTCTGTTATTTTGTAAATGTTTTCTCGCTTTGTTGTTGCGACATGTTCTTATCGTTAGTCATACGAACAAGTCAATTCTGTGTCCTTATTAAACGTAATGTTCTGACAATAAGTACAAGAATAAAGGTTATAAGTGTTTACCCCTATTATTTCGGCCCTGTCCTTCCCGCATACCCGCCACTGTCCAGATTTTGGGCGTCCCTGCAAAAAGAGTCAACATTTTCATTGTCGTTGGAAAGTGATAGAGAATATGCAACACTTTTTAGACACCCCTAAAAATACCAAGAAAATTGAAAAAGAATTTTGGACATCCCTGACGACGACCTAGAAATCGCGACGAAATTTTGGACACCCCTAAAAGCGATACGAGAATTGCGAACAATTTTTGTGCACCCCTGAAATTTACTGGAAATATCCGACGAAATCTTGGACACCGCTTGCGACGAGCGAGAAATTATTGCAAAATTTTGAACACCCCTGAAATTCAGTGGTTCGACGAATTCTTGGACACCTTGAACCATCGCGGAGAAATTTTGGACACCCCTTGTGACTAGAGAGAAATTATTGCAAAATTTTGGACACCCCTGAAATTCAGTGGGAATATCCGAAGAACTCTTGGACACCCTTGATCCATCGCGGAGAAATTTTGGACACTCCTTGCGACGAGCGAGAAATTATTGCGAAATTTTGGAAACCACTGAAATCCGACGAAATCTTGGACAGCCTTGTTCCGTCGCGGGGAAATTTTGGACACCCCTGAAATTCAGTGGGAATATCGACGAACTCTTAGACACCCTAAGATCCGTCACGGGGAAACTTTGGACACCCCTTGCGATGAGCGAGAAAATATTGCAAAATTTTGGACACCTCTCAATTCAGTGTGAATATACGACGAACGCTTGGACACCTCATCGCGGAGAAATTTTGGACACCCTTGATCCGTCGCGGAGAAATTTTGGAAACCCCTTGTGACTAGAGAGAAATTATTGTAAAATTTTGGACACCCCTGAAATTCAGTGGGAATATCGACGAACTCTTGGACACCCTAAGATCCGTCACGGGGAAACTTTGGACACCCCTTGCGATGAGTGAGAAAATATTGCAAAATTTTGGACACCCTTGATTCATCGCGGAGAAATTTTGGACACCCCTTGTGACCAGAGAGAAATTATTGAGAAATTTTGGACACCCCTGAAAATATCCGATGAAATCTTGGACACCCTTGATCTGTTGCGGTGAAATTTTGGACACCCCTTGTGACAAGAGAGAAATTAGTGCAAAATTTTGGACACCCTTGAAACTCAGTGGGAATATTCGACGAACTCTTGGACACCCTTGATCCATCGCGGGAAAATTTTGGACACCCCTTGCGATGAGCGAGAAATTATTACGAAATTTTGGACACCCCTGAAATCGGCTGAAAATATCCGACGAAATCTTGGACACCCTTGATCCATCACAGGGAACTTTTGGACACCCCTGAAATCGACTGGGAATATTCGATTAAATCTTGGGCACCCTTGATCCATCGCTGAGAAATTTTAGGCACCCCTTGGGACGAATGAAAATTTATTGTGAAATTTTGGGCACCCCTGAAATTCAGTGGAAATATGTATCAAAATCTTGGGCACCCTTGATCCATTGCAGGGAAATTTTGGATACTCCTGCCGACCTGCCGACGAGCAAGAAACTGCCACAAAACTTTGGACACCCTGAATTCGGCCAAGATCCCTCGACGAAATTTTGGAAACTCTTCTAACACCATGCAATGAAATTTTGCACACCCCTGAAAGGCGTGAGAATTCCGGAGGAAACTTGGACATCCCTGGCAACAGACGAAGACCAACCAGCGGTGATTTTTTTTTATCTTTCCGGAGCGATCAGAGCGATGAAAATTTTGGGCGTCCCTAAATACGGTCAATTGTGGGAAATTTGTGGACATCAGCGCAGTAGACGTTTGGTTATCCCTTGAAATAAAATTGTGGTCATCTATGGCGGCGCCAAATCGCGGAAATAGTTTGGACATCCCTGTAAGTCGCAGTTAATTTTTTAGTCACCCCAGACAACAAATGAACAATTGCTTAAAATTTTGGCCAGTCCTGAAATCGGTTGAAATGTCTGGGCGAAATTTTGGACACCTTGACAACGACCTAGAAATCGGAATGAAGTTTTTTGTGCACACCTGATGACCAACAAAAGCTCGTGTGCGAAGGGGTGTCCAAAATTCGCACCACGATTTTCGGCAGCCGTCGAGGGATGTCCAAATTTTCGCCGCTCTAAGAAAGGGGTGTCCAAAACGTTCACAGGGATTTCTCGTTTGTAATTAAGGACGTCCAAAATTTCCCAACTCTCGTGACAGGGATGTACAAAATTCTTTGATTTGCGTGCAGGGTTGCCAAAAATGTTGTCGTTTTCTCGATGTCGGTACTCGATCCTACGAGGGATGTCCAAAAGCCCAATCTGCACCAAAATTTTGGACACCCTGAATTCGGCCAAGATCCTGGACGAAATTTTGGTCAACTTTTGTGTACATCGACAAAAAGTTTGGACGCCCTTGACTATGACAAGAAAGTGGCGAAAAAATTTTGGCCACCCCTGTCGACAACCGAGAAAATTTGGACATTCCTGACACCGTGCGAGGAAATTTTGGACATCCCTGAAAGGTGGTGCGAAAATTCAGGAGGAATCTTGGACATCCTGTCAACGGACGAAGACCGGCGGTGATATTTTGGTCATCCCTTACACAGAGCGATGAAAACTTTGGACGTCCCTAAGACCAGTCGCAAACACCTCATACAAATTTTGGCCACTCCTAAAATCGGCTGAGATTTCTGCATGAAATTTTGGTCACCTTTGAGACAAATGAAAGTTTTGTACATTCCTGAAATCAGTTGAGAATTGCTCAGCTTGAAATTTTGCTCACCCCTAAAAAGCGATGCCACTGACAGTCGCAGTGAAATTTTGGTTATCTCTTCGACGCCATCCTTGGCAGCGACTGAGACGTCGCACAGAAATTTTGGACACTCTTGAAAGTTGCTGACAATGCGAAAACATTTTTTAGTCGTCCCTGGTAACACATGGAAAACTGTCGTTATGCGACGAAATTTTGGCCACCCTTAAAAGGCGGCAAACCATTTTTGGACATTCTTGACAACCGAAAATCTGTAGTAAAATTTTGGTCATCCATTATGTAGGAAACGAGAGTTGTGCACGCACCTGCGATTGCAATAGAAATTTTGGTCACCCCTCACAACGGCAAGAAAACTTGATGACCTAGAAACCGTGGCAAAATGTTGAACACCCCTGAAAATCACCGACAACACGTGTGAAAATTTTGTATACCTTTATAAAGTGACAGAATTGCGAAGAAATTTTGGTCACCCTTGCGAATAATCGAAAGTCGGCTGCGAATTTTGATTGTGCCTTACGCACGGTGGCGAAATTTTTGGACGCCCCTTCTCAGAAAAAGTGCAAGGCAAATCTAAAACTTTTGTGCACTCCTGATGACTAACGAAAGCTCTTATGCGAACAGATGTCCAAAATTTCACTGTTATCGAAAAAGGGTGTCCAAAATTTCGCAACTCTCGTTGTGACAGGGGTGCACAAAATTCTTTGATCTCCGTACGGGATTGCCCAAAGCCTCGTCGCTTTCTCGAAGGGATGTACAAAACTTCGGTTCTCGATCGCACGAGGGATGTCCAAACCTCTGACCTGGTATCGAAGAGGGCACCGAAAGTTATGGACACCCCTTTCGGGAAACGACAAAACTTTGGGCAACCCGGCAGGGAGGCGACGGTATTTAATGACAAATAAAACATCCCTTTTGGGGAACAAAAGAATTTTGGACAGTTGTAGGGAAACGAAGGTTATTGTTGGACACCCCTGTTGACCGGTAATAAAGTGTCGAGATTTGGGCGGCTTTTCCGTGAAGTGATAAAATTTTGGACATCCCTTAAATGTAAGTATTGGCTGATAGACACTAAAAACCTTAATAACCTTGAAATTGGGCACTTTTTTGGTACGAAACAGGTAACGTGAAAAACTACTGTAGTGGCCTACTTTGCATTTAAATTTTGAAGCAAAGCGCGCCCAACCGACGAGGGCGACGAAGACGCTGTGTAAGCAAGGAGGTGGGGAGATTGTGGCGTGGACGGCGCGAAGAGCCGGGGGCGACAGTTCGTTCTTGAACACCCAGCAGAGACGAGGTTGTATTACAATTTTGTACAGAGCGCTTTCTGTGTGTTTTTCATTGTTTTAGCTTTATTAATTGTGGTTTCACCCCGATTGTCACCTGGACTTTTCCCCCTTGTCGTTGGAGCCGTCAACCACCGCTGCCGTCTTTCGTGGGGCTGAGAATCGCTTCTTCGCTCGCGGAGGGAGGAACGTTTGGGGCGGTAAGAACGCTGGCGTTTGGTCGAATTGGACAGGTATGTGCTTAATTTAATTATCTTTCTTTGGATGCAAGCTAGTGCTCTTGAGTGCATGGTTCTTTAGTTGAACATTGTTGCGAGATTATTCTAACGCGAATCTCCGCTTCTCTATGTACCCGGTGCGAACCACCCAGAATGCCGTTTTGGTGTGGAAATCGCCAAGCTACGACCCGGGGCCCGCTGTAGAAGATCTCCAGACGTTCGTCGCACGTAATCGCCGTTTTCTTAGTTTTGGTTTTCAGTATCAGTAAATCGTTGTCGCAGGGCTTTTCAGGGAATTCATTAGTTAGGATGCAATTCAATTTCATTAATTTTATACCAAAGGTTTTTGGATGGTTTTTCCACAGTTGTCACTTTTTTCCAAATTTTCATGTTCGGACAATTTCAAATCAAAATTTAAACGTTAAGAGAGAGAGAGCGAGGGCGGGGGCGAGCGTGCAGGTGGCCCACTCGAGATTATCAATGTTTAGGCTAGACGACTTTAATGGGCGCTAGTCTGGAAAATCCACGCTCCCAGAGCATTTTTGTGTTAGTCAGCAGAGAAATGTCGATTGACCTCAAAAATTATTACTCAATTAGTAACGGAAAGCTGGACCACTGTTTTATGTTATGACTTATGTGTTACCATGTGAATTCTATATTTACCATTTTGAAAAGCACACATTCAAAGCGCAATGTGTACCAAACGTTATATTTTATTGTGTTGGTTTGACATGTTTGTATGTATGTTTGTATGTATTTTTGTCGACATTATTTTATGTGCAGTTTTCCGTTGCATTCACATTTGAATTAATTAATTCTCGATGGGGTAAAAGTTTTTAACAAATGTGGCGTACTTAAACTTTGTTGCAATATCCACAATTTTAGTTTGGGTTTGATAGTTCTTCAAGTTTCAAAAATATTAAAACTTAAATTTGACTAATTAGAAAATGTTCGGGGTTGTTTAGCGAGAGCGGGGAACGACCCAAATTCAAATTGATGATTTTTCTTTCATTCGTATGACTGTTTTCTCCCAATACCGAATGCCGCCAACACGGGATATGCGGAGGGTGTCTTGCTGGTAAAGGAAACTTTAGTGGTGGGAGTCAGTGTCGTGTGTCCCGCGGTGGATGGAGTAAAGTTACGGGATAATACTTGCCGCCGTTGCCTCGGGCGCCGGCGAACACAGGATGGAGATAGTGTGACGTTTGAGGTGGCCCAGTGGCTTGGTTGTACGTAGCTGGTTAGAGCGAAAAGACAGTTAAAAAGACAAGGTCTAGAACCGCTAGCGCTACACACCCCCTGTTTCTAAATTTATTGCATTAAATTGTATTATTGTTATCTGCTGACTGAGAAAGAATTTCTAACACGCCAAAATGACAACTGTGGCAATGCCACCCAATTACTTTAGCTAGAGCTTTCGCGAACTTTTTTTTTTTGTATGTCATTGCTAGGATTTTGAAAATATTATAACAAAATTTATAATTGTTTTTATAAAAGATAGAGAGGTTTTGCAGCTGGGAAAATATACTCATCAAGTTTATTTCACAGCTTTTGTCCTCTCCCTTAAGAGGAACTAATTTTCAGCCAATTGTTTTGTTATATGTATAAACGTAATTATTTCATTTCAGTTCAAATCTCTTTTTACCAAAATTGAATAAAAGATGTTCCTTTTCAGCGCTGACTTTGACTTCCTACACTCTTCCCGCTCCGCATTGCGCTAATTTGTATCCGAACGCATTCCGCCATTTAAACACAACGTAAGGGTCCCCATTTTGTTGACGATCACAGTTCATGGCCACTTTTCGAATTTTTCGCGGGTTTTCAAATTTTGTGCGCATGTCTTCGATTTTGGCGGAATGTTTGGGTTATTACACTACAATTTTCTTTATTTTTATTACTACATCACACGGAATTTTTGAAATTTATTAATGTTACAAAAATGTCATCTCAGTTATGTCATTTCTAGAGAATTCCAGTGTTACTAACGTGTTACCAATGAAAATTCCATATGAGATGATTTCATAAATAAAAGATAGGGTCTCAAAATTTTGCAATATATGTAGGTCTACCAACCTCTACATTTTTAGTTATTTTAGTATTTCACTGTAATGTACATTTTTAATGTCATATTAGTTGATAAATACGTTTGATCTTTGTTTTTATTTACCTTCTACATTTTAAAACCGAATGTAATACCGGGAATTACCCAACAACGATGGTCAGATGTCAGTGGTACTAAAACATGTTGGACACAATGTTCAAATGCCCCCACCATTTCCTTAAAATTTTCCGAGTGTACCAAAATACACTCCAAGGTCAACTGCGATTAACTTATCACCATTTGGTTCATCTTTTATTAGTTGTTGTCTTTTAATTCGCGTTTATTTATAGGAACTTTTGCACCTGAGGTCAAACGCACACCTTTTCCCATTTTGACATTTGACGTGTGGTGGCGCCACCAGCAGCCGTCAAGTTTGTTGTGTTATTGATTGAATCGTACAAATTGAAAATCTCCGTATTTCTCGCAACAACCCGCAAATTCTGCCTTTTGCCACCAAACACCAGGTACAACACGCCAACTTTCATTGATAACCCCAAAAACAAGTCCCGCTAACGCCACCCGCGACCACAAAGAACCCTCTCCCAATTAGTGCTTTTTTCTCTCTCTCCGCCGCCTCTCTCGCAAAACCACTCAAAACAAACACAATTCCAGCCGACTCCAATCAAAAAATGTCGAAGAAAGCCATCGCCGATCAAGAAGTCACCATCAAAGACTCCCTCTTCGAATTCGTCCGAACACACACCACCAACGCCGATCTAACTCTAATCGACGACATCGTGTTGTCCTACGTAATCGCGATACTCGAGGACGTCAGCTCAGACCCGGTCTTCAACGTCGAAGGTAAATCGACTTGCGCTCATTCTACCCATTGTACCATCGGGTTGCAGATTTCTGCGAAATGATGTCCGCTTATTTTCCCGAATTCGAGTCGATAAATCACGCCACCGTGTGTCAGTGGATTTTCGAACTGGCTGCCAAGTTGCGGGTCGACGAGCCTGAAGAAAAGTCGGTCGTTGAGATTTCGTTACCGGAGATCGTTCCCAAGACCAAACCGAGGCAGCTGGATAACAGGGAGAGCTTCGACGTGCCAAAGAGGGTGCACAGGTTGTCGGAGATGAGCGACGGGGGCTCCACGGACAGCTCTTGTTGTGACTTTTTGGACGAGATTGACGTTTTGCAGGAGATGTTTCCGACGGTGTGCTCGATCGAGGTTTGTTGATTTTTGTAGTTGTAGTTTTGGGGTTATTTTTATTATGTACATGATTTAAATTCACTTGACTTTGTTTAAATTTCGATAAAACACTTCTTTTACAACTCAGAAGTCAAATTAAATTTCGGTATCCGTCAAGGGTTGTCAATTGCATTGCTGCCAATCCAGATTTTTTAAATCCCTATTAATTTTTCACCAGTTAGGCCAACTTGGTGACATTTTGACAATTCGGAACTTTAATGAGCAAACTTTATTTCTTTGGGTAACTGTTGGCGTAAAATGTCAAATGTGACTTTCGTTGGGAAAATTGATTGACAGTAAGATTCCAAATTACATATAAATACAAAACAAGAGTAAAGTAACTAGATATAGTTACAAGAACATAATAATTTGCGTTGCTTTGGTTGGTAGAGAAAATGTCAAATTAATTTATTTCGTTCTATACCTTTTTTTGTTATCATATAAATTAAATCAAGGCTACCACATCAAGAAACTAAAAGTTACTGCTTTCGTACCTACCTTATCTCGACCCTTTCTTAGATTTAAATTTCTACAAAAGATGCCTTTACAACCCGTCAAGGGTTATCAATAACTATCATTATACTGGAGCGGCTACAGATTTTTTAAATCCCTAGTAATTTTTCATCAGGGAGGCCAACATTATGTCACTTTGACATTATGTGACTTTCGTTGGAAAAATTAATTGACGCTAAAATTACAAATTACACATACAAAACAAGAGTAAAGTAACCAGATCAAGTTAGAAGAAAAAAATAATAATTTGTCTTGCTTTGGTTGGTAATGAAAATGTCAAATAATTTGATGCCTTCGTATTGGCACCTTTTGTTGGTGTTGTCATAAAAATCAAGGCTGCCACACTAAAAATGTAAAAGTTCATTCCTACCTTGTCTAAAATCATTTCCTGTGTTTAAATTTCTACAAAAATTGCCTTTACAACCGAGAAATCACATTGAATTTTGTTGACCGTCAAGGGTTGTCAGTTACTATCATTCCACTACTGCCACTACAAATTTTTTAAATCCCTGTTAATTTTTCACCAGTGAGGCCAACATTGTAGCACTTTGACATTTCGCAACCTTAATAAACAAATTTTATTGTTAAGCGCAGCTGTTCGTACAAAATGTCAAATGTGACTTTCGTTGAAAAAATTGCTTGACGTTAAAATTCCAAATTACACATACAAAACAATAGTAAAGTAACCAGATCAAGTTAGAAGAAAAAAATAATGATTTGTCTTGCTTTGGTTGGTAGTGAAAATGACAAATAATTTGATGTCGTCGTAATGACAACCTTTGTTAGTGTTATCATAAAAATCAAGGGTGCCACACTAAAAATGTAAAAGTTACTGCGTTCATTTCTACCTTGTCTCAATCATTTCCTGTGTTTAAATTTCTACAAAAGTTGCCTTTACAACCGAGAAATCACATTGAATTTTGTTGACCGTCAAGGGTTGTCAATGACTATCATTGCACTGCTGCCTCTACAATTTTTTTAAATCCCTGTTGATTTTTCACTAGTGAAGCCAACATTGCAGCACTTTGACATTTCGCAACCTTAATAGACACATTTTATTGTTAAGCGCAGCTGTTGGTACAAAATGTCAAATGTGACTTTCGTTGAAAAAATTAATTGACGTTAAAATTCCAAATTATACATCCAAATCAAGAGTAAAGTAACTAGATCAAGCTAGAGGAAAAAAAAAAATTGTCTTGCTTTGGTTGGTAGTGAAAATGTCAAATAATTTGATGTCTTCGTAATGGCAACGTTTGTAAGTGTTGTCATAAAAATCAAGGCTGCCACACCAAAAATGTAAAAGTTACTGCTTTCATTCCTACCTTGTCTCAATCATTTCTATAAGTTGCCTTTACAACCGAGAAATCATATTGAATTTTGTGACCGTCAAGAGTCGTCAATAACCATCATTCCACTGCTGCCACTACAATTTTTTTAAATCGCTGTTAATTTTGCACCAGTGAGGCCAACATTGTAGCACTTTGACATTTCGCAACCTTAATAAACAAATTTTATTGTTAAGCGCAGCTGTTGGTACAAAATGTCAAATGTGACTTTCGTTGAAAAATTAATTGACGTTAAAATTCCAAATTATACATACAAATCAAGAGTAAAGTAACTAGATCAAGCTAGAGGAAAAAAAAAAATTTGTCTTGCTTTGGTTGGTAGTGAAAATGTCAAATAATTTTATGTCTTCGTAATGGCAGATTTTGTTAGTGTTGTTCTAAAAATCAAGACTGCCACACTAAAAATGTAAAAGTTACTGCTTTCATTCCTACCTTGTCTAAAATCATTTCCTGTGTTTAAATTTCTACAAAAGTTGCCTTTACAACCGAGAAATCACATTGAATTTTGTTGACCGTCAAGGGTTGTCAATTACTATCATTCCACTACTGCCACTACAAATTTTTTAAATCCCTGTTAATTCTTCACCAGTGGGCCAACATTGTAGCACTTTGACATTTCGCAACCTTAATAAACAAATTTTATTGTTAAGCGCAGCTGTTGGAACAAAATGTCAAATGTGACTTTCGTTGGAAAAATTAATTGACGTTAAAATTCCAAATTACACATACAAAACAAAAGTAAAGGAACCAGATCAAGTTAAAAGAAAAAAATAATGATTTGTCTTGCTTTGGTTGGTAGTGAAAATGTCAAATAATTTGATGTCTTCGTAATGACAACCTTTGTTAGTGTTATTATAAAAATCAAGGGTGCCACACTAAAAATGTAAAAGTTACTGCTTTCATTTCTATCTTGACTCAATCATTTCCTGTGTTTAAATTTCTACAAAAGTTGCCTTTACAACCGAGAAATCACGTTGAATTTTGTTGACCGTCAAGGGTTGTCAATTACTATCATTCCACTACTGCCACTACAAATTTTTTAAATCCCTGTTAATTTTTCACCAGTGAGGCCAACATCGTAGCACTTTGACATTTCGCAACCTTAATAAACAAATTTTATTGTTAAGCGCTGCTGTTCGTACAAAATGTCAAATGTGACTTTCGTTGAAAAAATTGCTTGACGTTAAAATTCCAAATTACACATACAAAACAAGAGTAAAGTAACCAGATCAAGTTAGAAGAAAAAAATAATGATTTGTCTTGCTTTGGTTGGTAGTGAAAATGACAAATAATTTGATGTCGTCGTAATGACAACCTTTGTTAGTGTTATCATAAAAATCAAGGGTGCCACACTAAAAATGTAAAAGTTACTGCGTTCATTTCTAGCTTGTCTCAATCATTTCCTGTGTTTAAATTTCTACAAAAGTTGCCTTTACAACCGAGAAATCACATTGAATTTTGTTGACCGTCAAGGGTTGTCAATTACTATCATTCCACTACTCCCACTACAAATTTTTTAAATCCCTGTTAATTGTTCACCAGTGAGGCCAACATCGTAGCACTTTGACATTTCGCAACCTTAATAAACAAATTTTATTGTTAAGCGCAACTGTTCGTACAAAATGTCAAATGTGACTTTCGTTGAAAAAATTGCTTGACGTTAAAATTCCAAATTACACATACAAAACAAGAGTAAAGTAACCAGATCAAGTTAGAAGAAAAAAATAATGATTTGTCTTGCTTTGGTTGGTAGTGAAAATGTCAAATAATTTGATGTCTTCGTAATGACAACCTTTGTTAGTGTTGTCATAAAAATCAAGACTGCCACACTAAAAATATAAAAGTTACTGCTTTTATTTCTATCTTGACTCAATCATTTCCTGTGTTTAAATTTCTACAAAAGTTGCCTTTACAACCGAGAAATCACATTGAATTTTGTTGACCGTCAAGGGTTGTCAATAACTAACATTGCACTGCTGCCACTACAAATTTTTTAAATCCTTGTTAATTTTTCACCAGTGAGGCCAACATTGTAGCACTTTGACATTTCGCAACCTTAATAACCAAATTTTATTGTTAAGCGCAGCTGTTGGTACAAAATGTCAAATGTGACTCGTTGAAAAAATTACTTGACGTTAAAATTCCACATTACATACACAAAACAAGAGTAAAGTGACCAGATCAAGTTAGAAGAAAAAAATAATAATTTGTTTTGCTTTGGTTGGTAGTGAAAATGTCAAATAATTTGATATTCTTGTAATGGCAACCTTTGTTAGTGTTGTCATAAAAATCAAGGCTGCCACACCAAAAATGTAAAAGTTACAGCTTTCATTCCTACCTTGTCTCAATTATTTCTATTATTATTACTATCATTCCACTGCTGCCACTACATGATGGCACTTTGACAGTTCACAACCTTAATGAACACATTTTATTTTTTGAGTGCAGCTCTTGGCGCAAAATGTCAAATGTGACTTTAGTTGGAAAAAATTATTGATGTTAAAATTCCAATTGACACACAAAACAAGAGTAAAGTAACCAAATCTAGTGACAAGCAAAAACGATAATTTGTCTTGCTTTGGTTGGTAGTTGTTTTTGTTGTCATATAAATCAAGGCTGCCACACAAAAAATGCAAAAGGTACTACTTTCATTGTTACCTTGTCTCAACCATTTGCTAGATTTATTAAATTTCTACAAAGGCTACCTTTACGACCCAGAATTAAAATTAAATTTTGGTGTCCAACAAGGGTTATCAATAATTGTCATTACATTGCTACCACTACAGATTTTTTTAAATCCCTATTAATTTTTCACCAGTGAGGCCAACATGATGGCACTTTGACAGTTCACAACCTTAATGAACACATTTTATTTTTTGAGTGCAGCTCTTGGCGCAAAATGTCACATGTGACTTTGGTTGGAAAAAATTATTGATGCTAAAATTCCCAATTACACACACAAAACAAGAGTAAAGTAACCAAATTTAGTGACAAGCAAAAACGATAATTTGTCTTGCTTTGGTTGGTAGTTGTTTTTGTTGTCATATAAATCAACGCTGCCACACAAAAAATGTAAAAGGTACTACTTTCATTGTTACCTTGTCTCAACCATTTGCTAGATTTATTAAATTTCTACAAAAGCTGCCTTTACAACGTAGAATTCAAATTAAATTTTGTTGTCCGTCAAGGGTTATCAATAACTATCATTACATTGCTACCACTACAGATTTTTTTAAATCCCTATTAATTTTTCACCAGTGAGGCCAACATGATGGCCCTTTGACAGTTCACAACCTTAATGAACACATTTTATTTTTTGAGTGCAGCTCTTGGCGCAAAATGTCAAATGTGACTTTGGTGGAAAAAATTATTGATGTTAAAATTCCCAATTACACACACAAAGCAAGAGTAAAGTAACCAAATTTAGTGACAAGCAAAAACGATAATTTGTCTTGCTTTGGTTGGTAGTTGTTTTTATTGTCATATAAATCAAGGCTGCCACACAAAAAATGTAACTACTTTCATTGTTACCTTGTCTCAACCATTTGCTAGATTTATTAAATTTTTATAAAAGCTGCCTTTACAACGTAGAATTCAAATTAAATTTTGGTGGCCGTCAAGGGTTATCAATAACTTATCATTACATTGCTACCACTACAGATTTTTTTAAATCCCTATTAATTTTTCACCAGTGAGGCCAACATGATGGCACTTTCACAGTTCACAATCTTAATGAACACATTTTATTTTTTGAGTGCAGCTCTTGGCGCAAAATGTCAAATGTGACTTTGGTTGGAAAAAATTATTGATGTTAAAATTCCCAATTACACACACAAAACAAGAGTAAAGTAACCAAATTTAGTGACAAGCAAAAACGATAATTTGTCTTGCTTTGGTTGGTAGTTGTTTTTGTTGTCATATAAATCAAGGCTGCCACACAAAAAATGTAAAAGGTACTACTTTCATTGTTACCTTGTCTCGACCATTTGCTAGATTTATTAAATTTCTACAAAAGCTGCCTTTACAACGTAGAATTCAAATTAAATTTTGATGTCCGTCAAGGATTATCAATAACTTATCATTACATTGCTGCCAATACAGATTTTTTTAAATCCCCATTAATTTTTCACTAGTGAGGCCAACATGATGGCACTTTGACAGTTCACAACCTTAATGAACACATTTTATTTTTTGAGTGCAGCTCTTGGCGCAAAATGTCAAATGTGACTTTAGTTGGAAAAAATTATTGATGCTAAAATTCCCAATTACACACACAAAACAAGAGTAAAGTAACCAAAATTAGTGACAAGCAAAAACGATAATTTGTCTTGCTTTGGTTGGTAGTTGTTTTTGTTGTCATATAAATCAAGGCTGCCACACTAAAAATGTAAAACGTACTTCTTTGATTGTTACCTTGTCTTAACCATTTGCTAGATTTATTAAATTTCTATAAAAGCTGCATTTACAACCCAGAATTCAAATTAAATTTTGGTGTCCGTCAAGGTTTATCAGTAACTTATCATTACATTGCTACCACTACAGATTTTTTTAAATCCCTATTCATTTTTCACCAGTGAGGCCAACATGATGGCACTTTGACAGTTCACAACCTTAATGAACACATTTTATTTTTTGAGTGCAGCTCTTGGCGCAAAATGTCAAATGTGACTTTAGTTGGAAAAAATTATTGATGTTAAAATTCCCAATTACACACACAAATCAAGAGTAAAGTAACCAAATTTAGTGACAAGCAAAAACGATAATTTGTCTTGCTTTGGTTGGTAGTTGTTTTTGTTGTCATATAAATCAAGGCTGCCACACAAAAAATGTAAAATGTACTACTTTCATTGTTACCTTGTCTCAACCATTTGCTAGATTTATTAAATTTCTAAACAAGCTGTCTTTACAACGTAGAATTCAAATTAAATTTTGGTGTCCGTCAAGGGTTATCAATAACTGTCATTACATTGCTGCCACTACAGATTTTTTTAAATCCCTATTAATTTTTCACAAGTGAGGCCAACATGATGGCACTTTGACAGTTCACAACTTTAATGGAAACATTTTATTTTTTGACTGCAGCTCTTGGCGCAAAATGTCAAATGTGACTTTAGTTGGAAAAAATTATTGATGTTAAAATTCCCAATTACACACACAAATCAAGAGTAAAGTAACCAAATTTAGTGACAAGCAAAAACGATAATTTGTCTTGCTTTGGTTGGTAGTTGTTTTTCTTGTCATATAAATCAAGGCTGCCACACAAAAAATGTAAAACGTACTACTTTCATTGTTACCTTGTCTCAACCATTTGCTAGATTTATTAAATTTCTATAAAAGCTGCTTTTACAACGTAGAATTCAAATTAAATTTTGGTGTCCGTCAAGGGTTATCAAAAACTTATCATTACATTGCTGCCACTACAGATTTTTTTAAATCCCTATTAATTTTTCACCAGTGAGGCCAACATGATGGCACTTTGACAGTTCACAACCTTAATGAACACATTTTATTTTTTGAGTGCAGCTCTTGGCGCAAAATGTCAAATATGACTTTGGTTGGAAAAAATTATTGATGTTAAAATTCCAAATTACACACATAAAACAAAAGTCAAGTAACCAAATCTAGTGACAAGCAAAAACGACAATTTGTCTTGCTATGGTTGGCAGTGGTAGTTGTCATAAAAATCAAGGCTGCCACACTAAAAATGAAAAAGTTACTGCTTCCATTCCTACCTTGTCTTAATCATTTCAGAAATCAAATTAAATTTTGTTGACCGTCAAGAGTTACATTGCTGCCACTACAAAACAAAAAACTTTAGTTATCAAATGAACAATAGCAGTTTGTCTTAACTCCATCTGTTCGGTAAACGAAGTTTTGTACGGTTAGGGACACGGAATTTCAAACGACAACCAACTTTCTGACATTTCAAAACATTGTAGTCTTATACCTTATTGTCATTATGATTGACAGGTCGTTTGAAATTCCGTGTCCCAAACTGTAGTTACACTTGAAGACAGGCCTCTATTGGAAAATTCGGATTAATGCAGGACTTGATATCCACGTTGACCTAGAAAATAAATAATACGAATAAATATTTGAGTGATTAAAAAGTGTTGTCTATTCCCCACCCGCAAATTCTGTCCGTTACATCCCATTGTTCTCAGGTGAAGCACTGCCTCGCCATCGCCAGCGGCGACATCGAGCGCGCCACCCAGATCCTGATCGATCGCCAGGAGAACGGGCAGTGCCTCAACCAGAACAACTCGCTGACGATCCACGTGAACAAGACCATGATCGACGACGCCGAGCTGAAGAACCGCATAATCGAGCGCTACTCGTACATCGACAAGGACTCGTTCACCAAGGAGCACCGGCCCGTGGCGCCCAAGGTCGAGCCGAAGAAGTTGGTGCGCTACCGCGACAACAAGATCGTCAGTTTGAAGGGTGAGCGCTTCACCGAGGTGAAGAAGGGGGAGGACGTCGACGACATATCGCTGAAGAAGAACAAGAAAGGCCACACCCCGTAACCAATAAATTGGCGGGACGATCGGATGGGCGGGGCTGGGGCGTGTCTTAGCTATATTTCAATATCCAGTAGATACGTAGGCTATATTTATGTAAAGTTTGGCACTTTTAACTAGCTATAAGGAGCAAGTGTTGGGTAGGGGACGGCGCGTCCGGAACCCAACAACTTGCTCCTTTTATCGTACACCGTTAGTATTATTAAAGTGTAAGATGCAAGACTAGTCAAAAAGCGGGCGGCGGCGGCGGCGGCGTCCGCGTTGTGTGCGAATTGTATCCTACTGATTCATTTTTAAATACCTGTGATTCTCGTAAAGTAAATGTATTTTCTTACATTTTCTCTATCTTATGTCGATTCTGAGTGATATTAATATTGATTCCTGACAGGGCTTCACTATTTGTTGTGTTGTTTGTAAATTAAGTTATGATCCTCATTATTTTAAGGTTTTACTCCAATCGTGTTTATGTTCGTGTGTGAAAGTTGTTCTTTTTACGGTAGCCTTTTTTACCTTTTATTGGTTAAATATAAGATATGTTAAGTGTACTGGTGAGTTTTATTTTCCCTGATATACCCTTCGTACTTCTACACCCAATGAAATTAAAATTAGAATAGAGGGATGCTCGCTTTACACAGCTCATTAAATAAAATTCCGAAACTACTAGATCGATTGTTGTCAGATTTTATGTTTACTAGGAATATCGTATAGATGGTAAAACGTTAACCAAAATTTGAATAACATTCTCTCGAAAATTTGAGAATTCAGTACCATTATTATTAGTATCTATCCATCAATGATGTCATCACAAAATTTTATAATGGCAAAACTCAATTAAAATAAACGCGTAGCATGCTTCTTTACATTTACTTTAACATCACATACATATTTTGATTTAATTTTATAAGGGTTATCATAGAAAAATTAAATTCGCAAAATCAAATCTTACGATTTTTCGAAAAATCTGAATTTATGTACCAATTTTGTGATTATACCAACTTTTCGTTTTCTTTGTTTTTTTCAATTTTTCCTTTTTCATTATTTCGGTTTTATAATTTCTCGTTTTTTCAATTTTTTGTTTCTTCAATTTTGCAATTTTCCGATATTACAATTATTTCATTTTTCGATTTTTCAGTTTCTAAATTTTTAATTCTTTCAAATTTTGATTTTTATTTATCATTTTCCCAATTTTTTAATTTTTCAATTTTGCAATTTTTAGATTTCTTCAATCTTCCAAGTTGTTGATTTCCAATTTTTAGATGTTTCAAAGTTTTCATGTTAAACTTTTTCGTTTTTTCATTTTTGATTTTTCAATTTTACAACTTTTCCATTTTTTTATCGAAAAGTTGAAAAATTTTAAAAATTGGAAAATATTGAAATTGCAAAATCGAAAAAGTGGAAACTCGGAAAACTGCAAATCAAAGAACTGAAGAAACGAAAAATTGGAAAAAATAACAAATAAATTAATTCGAAAAAGTGGAAAATCCACTAATTGTAATACCGAAAATTTATAGAATCGTCAAAATTTTAAAGTAAAAAAACTGTAACAGTGAAAAATCGAAAAATGAAAAAATTAAATATGGAGAAATTGTAAAATTAAATATCGAGAAGTACAAAAATTTAAAACTGATAAATGGAAAAAATTCGAACATAAAAGTTTTAAAATTTTCTAAATGAAAAATGAAAACACACAAAATTGCAAATGGAAATAAAATATCGATATATCGAGATACTGAAAAATCTAAAACTGAAAAACCGAAAAATTTCAAACCGTAATATAGAAAAATCCAAAAATTGAAAATTTTCACATTGAAAAAAAGAAAATTTAAAAACTGAAACATCAAAAATTTGAAAAATTGAAAAACTGAAAAACTTTAAAACGGGAACTCCAATAGTTACATATCGGTAAAATTGAAGAAACAAAAAAAAAATAAAAACTGGAACTGAAGAAACAAAAAATTATGAAATCGGAACATTGAAAAACCGAAAAATCGTAAAAATAAAGAAAATAAAAAACCGAAGCGAAAAAATTTCAAATCGAAAATTTGAAGAAATGAAAAATGAAGGAATCGAAAAATTAAAAATTGAATACTCGAGAAACTTAAATCAAAAATTGCAAAATTCAAAAGTAAAAAAATTGTAAAACCGAAAAATTATATAATCGTCAAAGTTTCAAAGTCGAAAAACTTATAGTGAGAGATTGAAAAATTGAAAAATTAAATATCGAGAAATTCAAAAATTAAAAATCGAAAAATTCAAAAATCAAATAAATGGAAATGTTTTAAAATACTCTAATTCAAAATCGAAACATCGAAATACTGAAAAATCTTAAATTGAAAAACCGAAAAATTGCAAATCGAAATACTGACGAATCCAAGAATTTTCACATTGAAAAAAGAAAAGTATAAAATCAAAATATTGAAAAACCGAAAAATTGAAGAAATGAGTTAAAAAATCCAAAAACTCGAAAATTATGTATTGAAGACTCGTGTAATTGAAAATCGAAAAATTACAAAATCCAAAAACTCAAACATCAAAAATAAAAAAAAATCCAAAAACTGAAGAACTTCAAAACAACTCGAAGACGTTACATATCGTAAAATTAAAAAACAAAAAAAAATAAATATAAAAACTGGAATTAAAAGAAAAAATGATTATAAAATCGGAACATTGAAAAACCGAAAAATTGTAAAAATAAAGAAAATAAAAAACCGAAACAAAAAATTGCAAATTGAAAATTTGCAGAAATGAAAAATTAAAGAATCGAAGAATTGAAAAAAATAAAATTGAACACACGAGAAATTTAAATAAAAAAAAGCATAATCCAAAAACTAAAATTCAAAATTTCGAAAACTGTAAAACCGAAAAATAATAGAATCGTCAAAATTTTAAAGTCGAAAAACTGTAACAGTGAAAGATTGGAAAATTAAATCGAACAAATGGAAAAGTTTTAAAATACTCTAATTCAAAATCCAAACATCGAAATACTGAAAAATCTAAAATTGAAAAACCGAAAAATTGCAAATCGAAATACTGATAAATCCAAAAATAGAAAATTTTCACGTTGAAAAACGAAAATTATAAAATCAAAATATTGAAAAACCGAAAAATTGAAGAAATGAATTTGAAAAATCCAAAAATTCGAAAATTATAAATTGATGACTCGTGTAACTGAAAATCGAAAAATTAAAAAATCCAAAAACTGAAACATCAAAAATTTGAAAAATCGAAAAACTGAAGAACTTTAAAACAACTCGAAGACGATACATACCGTAAAATTGAAGAAACAAAGAAAATAAAAACTGGAATTGAAGAGACAAAAAACAATAAAATCGGAACATTGAAAAACCCTAAAATTGTAAAAATAAAAAAAATAAAAACCGAAACAAAACATTGTGAACCGAAAATTTGAAGAACTGAAAAATTAAAATACTGAAAAACCGAAAAATTGAAGAAATGAAAATTGAAAAATTGAAAATGGAAGACTCGTCAAATTGAAATTCGAAAAATTACAACATGTAAAACTTCAACATCAAAAATCTGAAAAATCGAAAAACTAAAAAACTTCAAAATAAAAACTCGAAGAGTTACATATCGTCAAATTAAAGAAACAAAAAAAAAATAAAAAATAAAATTGAAGAACCAAAAAATTATAAAATCGGAACATTAAAAAACCCTAAAATTGTAAAAATAAAAAAAATAAAAACCGAAACAAAACATTGTGAACCGAAAATTTGAAGAACTGAAAAATTAAAATACTGAAAAACCGAAAAATTGAAGAAATGAAAATTGAAAAATTGAAGATGGAAGACTCGTCAAATTGAAATTCGAAAAATTACAAAATGTAAAACTTCAACATCAAAAATCTGAAAAATCGAAAAACTAAAAAACTTCAAAATAAAAACTCGAAAAGTTACATATCGTCAAATTAAAGAAACAAAAAAAAAATTAAAAAATAAAATTGAAGAACCAAAAAATTATAAAATCGGAACATTAAAAAACCGAAAATTAGTTTAAATAAAGAAAATAAAAAACGAAATAAAGAATTGCAAACCGAAAATTTGAAGAAATGAAAAATGAAAGAATCGAAAAACTGAATATTCGGGAAATTTAAAAATTGTAAAAATCAAAATTTAGAAAATTATAGAACCGAAAAATTATAGAAACGTAAAAAATTTTAAGTCGAATAACTGTAACACTGAAAGATAGAAAAAATGAAAAATTAAATATCGAGAAATTCAAAGATTAAAAAAAAACTGAACAAAGGGGAAAGTTTTAAAATCCTCTAATTGAAAAATGGAAAAATTTTAAAATTGTAAAAATGAAGGAAAAATCATAAAATTAAAAATATCATTACATATTAAAATGAAAAAAACGAAAAATTGCAATTCGAATCGAAAAATTGAAACATCGAGATACTTAAACATCGAAAAATTCCAAATCCAAATATGTACGGAAAAACCCAAATAGTAAAAATATTCACATTGAAAAAAAAAAAGAAAATTATAAAATCAAAATACTGAAAAAGCATGAAATTGAAATTGGAAAAAATATAAATCTGAATACTGAAACATCAAAAATTTGAAAAATCGAAAAACTGAAAAACTAAAACGAGAACTCGACATATCGTCAAACTGAAGAAAAAAATAAAATTAAAAACTGAAATTGAAGAAACAAAAAATTATAAAATCGGGACATTGGAAAACCGAAAAATTGTAAAAAGAAAGAAAATAAAAAAACCGAAACAAAAAATTGCAAATCTAAAATTTGCAGAAATGAAAAATTAAAGAATCGAAAAATTGAAGAAACAAATTGAATACTCGAGAAATTTAAATCAAAAATAGCAAAACCTAAACACTGCAAAATTCAAAAGTTCGAAAACTGTAAAACCGAAAAATTATTATAAAATCGTCACAAGTTTAAAATCGAAAAACAGTCACAGTGAAAGATAAAAAAACTGAAAAATTAAATATCAGGGAATTAAAAAATTAAAAATAGAAAAATTCAAAAATCGGACAAATGGAAAAGTTTTAAAATACTCTAATTCAAAATCGAAACATTGAAATACTGAAAAATCCAAAAATAGAAAATTTTCACATTGAAAAAAGAAAAGTATAAAATCAAAATATTACAAAACCGAAAAATTGAGGAAATGAGTTGAAAAATCCAAAAATTCGAAAATTATAAATTGAAGACTCATGTAATTGAAAATCGAAAAATTACAAAATCCAAAAACTCAAACATCAAAAATAAAAAAGATCCAAAAACTGAAGAACTTCAAAACAACTCGAAGACGTTACATATCGTAAAATTAAGAAACAAAAAAAAACTGGAACTAAAAGATAAAATGATTATAAAATTGGAACATTGAAAAACTGAAAAATTGTAAAAATAAAGAAAATAAAAAACCGAAACAAAAAATTGCGAATCGAAAATTTGCAGAAATGAAAAATTAAAGAATCGAAAAATTGAAAAAATAAAAATTGAATACGCCAGAAATTGAAATAAAAAAAAACAATCCAAAAACAATGTATTCAAAATTTCGAAAACTGTAAGACCGAAAAATAATAGAATCGTCAAAATTTGAAAGTCGAAAAACTGTTACAGTGAAAGATTGAAAAATTGAAAACTTTAATATCGAAAAATTTAAAAATCGAATAAATGGAAAAGTTATAAAATCTTCTAATTGGAATGAAATGGAAAAATTCTAAAACTGTAAAAATGAGAGTAAAAAATTATAAAATTAAAAATATCATCACATATTGACATGAAAAAACGAAAAATTTCAAATCGAAATACTGAAAAGCCGAAAAATTGAAGAAATGAAAATTGAAAATTCGAAAAATTGGAAAATCTAAAAACTGAAACATCAAAAATCTCAAAAATTGAAAAACTGAAAAACTTCAAAATGAAAACTCGCCAAATTGAAGAAACAAAAAATTATTAAATCGCAACATCGACAAAACGAAAATTAGTTAAAATAAAGAGAACAAAAAACCGAAACAAAGAATTGCAAATCGAAAATTTGAAGAAATGAAAAATGAAAGAATTGAATAATTCAATCTTTGAGAAATTTAAAAATTGCAAAATTCAAAATTTCGAAAATTATAAAACCGAAAAATGATAAAAACGTCAAAATTTTTAAGTCGAACTGTAACAGTGAAAGATCGAAAAATTGAAAAATTAAATATTGAGAAATTCAAAAACTGAATAAAGGGAAATTCTCTAATTGAAAAATGGAAAAATTCTAAAATTGTGAAAATGAAGAGTGAAAAATTTTAAAATTAAAAGTATCATTACAGATTAAAATGAAAAAACTAAAAATTTAAAAACGAAACGAAAAATTGAAACATCGAGACACTGAAAAATCGAAAAATTCCAAATCAAAATACTGAAAAATCCAAAAATTGAAAATTTTCACACTAAAAAAAAGAAATTATAAAATCAAAATATATACTTCAACAGCGAAAAATTGAAGAAATGAAAATTGAAAATTCGAGAATTTCAAAAATTCAAAAATAGAAAAACTTTAAAACGAGAACTCGAAGAATTACGTATCGTAAAATTGAAGATATAAATAAAATTAAAAACTGAAATTGAAGAAACAAAAAATTATAAAATCGGAACATTGAAAAACCGAAAAATTATAAAAATAAAGAAAACAAAAAATCGAAACGAAAAATTGCAAATCGAAAATTTAAAAAAACGAAAAAATTAAAGAATCTAAAAAGTCAAAAATTGAATACTCCAGAAATTTAAAACTGAAAATGCAAGATCTAAAAATTGAAAAAGTTAGAAAATTGAAAAGCTGAAAATTTAAACTTGAATTCGTAAAAAGTTGCAAATCGAAGAATTTGAGAAAAAAAAAACATTAAAAAAAATCGCAAAAAAATTAGAATTGATTCGTTGAGCTGTACTCAAGGGCGAGGAAAGTTCTGTCGAAATAACCTTGGACCATTTTTTTTAGATGATAAATAATATTCAAACAATAATTTATGATTGACATCATAATTAAACCGCAAAGTGTGCTTCTAGAAAAATGAATTTATTAAAAACAAATCAGTTTCTGGAAACATCATTAGTACTATTAATATTATATAACCACAAAAATTTGAAAAAGCAAAACAAAACAAAGCGTGATGAACAAAGAAACGTGACATAAATCAAACCATAAAAAACGATACAATACCTACCCGCATTTAAAACAAATAACGCGATAATAAAATAGAAAAAATATTGTTTTATTCGTTATCACGCAGTTGATAGCGAGCTGTTGTCTGAGTCAGGTCATGCAGGCACGCATACCTACATATACATAGTAATGCATACACAATGTTTTTTACTACTGTCTACGATAACACGTAAGTACTTTAACTACGTAACTTAGAACTCATTTGACCTCGGTCTTCAACAACACACCCCACAAATTAATTTTCTTTCCCACTTTTATTTTCAGTCCCCATTCTACACACCCCCGGCTCGCGCATCATCGGCGGCAGCAAAATCCCCATCACCGCCACCCCCTACCAACTCATCCTCCTTCGCGCCCGCGTGCACATCTGCGGCGCTGTTCTAATCGCCCCCCAGCGAGCCCTAAGCGCCGCCCACTGTTTCCCCAACCCTGGCCCCTACTCCGTCAAAGGCGGAGTCACCAACCTGCAAGAACCCGGATTCGTCAGCCACATCAACATGGCCCTGATCCACCCCAATTTCACCAAAACGAACGGCGACTACGACTTGTCGGTTTTGTTCCTAGCCACGCCTTTCCCCCTCTCCGACAAAATCCGGCCAGTGGCGTTGCCTAGCGAGGGTCCGGAGGGGGAAATACGCGCCGGAATGGTGGGAAAAGTGAGTGGGTGGGGCAAGACAACCCATAATTCCGACGAATTGCGTTCCGAGGATTTGAAAGGCGTGGATTTGCCGGTGGTGGCACAGGAAAAGTGCCAAAAGAAGTTCGACTACTTTCAGGTGATAACGGAGAGGAAGTTCTGCGCGGGGGTGGAAAAAGGGGGGGAGGATGCGTGCACGGGGGACTCGGGGGGGCCGTTCGTGGTGGAAGGGGTGTTGTATGGGATTGTGTCGGATGGGCTGGATTGTGCCCAGCCGGGGTGGCCGGGGATTTACACGAACGTGCAGGTGTTGAGGGGGTTTATCAGGGAGAACGCGGAGGTGTGATCGTTGTGAATATTCATAAAATAAATTACAATTAAAAAATAAAAAAAAAATGTAATACCCCGATATGCAATTCAAATTGCACAAACAATATATTATTTAAATATTTTTCTGTGTTATTATTTTATTAAATATGCTAATGCGTGGTGTACTCATGACATTGAATGAAAGTTAAAAATGTGTCAGTACCTTTTATTCAGTGTTACACATTTCCATATCACCCAGTTGATAACGAGTCGTCGCACTAGAAGGTCACACCAGCACATTAACACAGTAATGCATAAACAATTATTGTTATTACTGCTACCTGCGATTACGCGTAAGTACTTACAGTGGTAATTTATAATTAATTATTAAAAAAACTATTGTCTTTCATTTTTAAAAATTATTTAAATTAAATTAGAATTAAAATGTTGTCTCCAGAGGCGGCTTCGCGCATCGTCGGTGGCACCCGCATCCCCATCACCACCGCCCCCTACCAACTCAGTCTCCGCCGCTGGGGCCAACACCTCTGTGGCGCCGCCCTCTTAAGCCCCACCATCGCCGTAAGCGCCGCCCACTGCTTCTCCGCCCCCGGAGCCTACTCTATCAAAGCCGGAATAACCAACCTCCACGAATTCGGAACCGTCGTCCACGTCAACCTGAGCTTAGTCCACCCGAAGTTCATGAAATCCCCCGCCGACTACGACCTCGCAGTTCTGTTTTTAGCCTCCCCTCTACCTCTGTCCGATAAAATTAAGCCAGTGGCGTTACCCAAGGAGGGTCCGGAGGGTCAAGTTCGCGGCGGCATGGTGGGGAGGGTGAGTGGGTGGGGGAAGGCGTCAGCTAGTTCCAAAAATGTGCGTTCTGAGGAGTTGAGAGCCGTGGATTTGCCAGTGGTACCACAATTGAAGTGTAATGTTACGTACTTGGGGAGGGTTACGGAGAGGATGTTTTGTGCGGGGTTGGCGCAGGGGGGGAAGGATTCGTGTACGGGGGATTCGGGGGGGCCTTTTGTGGTTGAGGGGGTGTTGTATGGGGTTGTGTCTGGGGGACGGGAGTGCGGAAGGGCTGGGTATCCGGGGATTTACACGAATGTGCAGGTGTTGAGGGGGTATATTAGGGAGAATGCGGGGTTGTGATTGGTGTGATAGTAATATGGAAAATAAGATCAATTGATGTTCAAATAAAGGGAGGTTTTTGAAATTTTGTGTGTTATTTACCCAGACGAAAAATGTTGCTACTAACTAAAATTGTACATCAATCCAAATATGAAAGAAACAAAAAACTGAATAATCGAAAAGTTGAAGACAGCAAAAATAGAACAAAAAAATCAAATCCATACTAGAAAAATAAAACATTCAAAATTTGAAAAATCAAAAAATTTAAAAAATTCGAATCGAACTACAATCGACAATCGAAAATTCAAAAGTTGAAAAATCAAAAAATTGAAAAAATGAAACATTAAAACATCTAAAAATTGAAAAAAACAATGAATTGGAAAACCTACAAATTGTACAACAATCGAAAAATGGAAGAAACGAAAAACTCAATAATCGAAAAATTATAAAACCTAAATATTACTAATCGATAAATTGAAGAAACGAAAAATTGGATCATCGAAAAATAAGAAATTCAAAATTTGAAAAATTAAACTGTTTTTGACTTTATATATATTTGCCAATTTCCAAATTTTCAAATTTTCTGTTCAAAAAGAACATCTGATAGACGTTAGATTTGCCTGTGATCTTGTTGCGGGAAAATCATACCTGCTGTGAAAAAGCAAAAAACTGAAAAATCAACAAATGGATAATTCAAAAGTTAAATTTCGAAAAAAAAAAGTAAAATCTAAAAATTACAAATTGAAAAATTGACGTCATAAACAAAAATTGAATAATCGATAAATAAAAAATTTTAAAGTTGAAAAATCGAAAAATTAAAAAATGAAAATCGAATTGCAATCCATAAAAAGGAATAAAATTATTATTATTATAAATAAAAAAATTCAAAGTAGAAAAATCCAAAAGTTGTAAAACCTAAAAATTCCAAATCGAAAAACTGAAGAAACGAAAAATTGATTAATCAAGAAATAAAAAATATAAATACTGAAAAATCAACGAATTAAAACCTGAATTGCAATTTTTCGATTTTTGAAATAAATTTTTGGATCAATTTTGCGTTTCGTGAATTTTTCGAATTTTCAGATTTTAGGTAATTTGATTTTTCGATTTTTTCGAAAGATCAGGAATCGAAAGATCAAAAAACTGAAAAATCTAAAATTTTAAACTTTGAACAATTGAAAAATAGAAAAATCAAAGAACTGAAAAATAAAGAAATTAAAATTTCGATAAAATTGAAAAAACGAGAAATCAAAACAGTGAAAAATTGAAAAATTTAAAATGCAAAAATCTAAAATTAAAAAAATCGAAACACTGAGAAATCGAGAAATCAAAATATATTAAAAATTTTAAAAAACGAAAAATTTAAAAATTAAAATTTTTAAAAATCGAAAAATTGAAAACCGGAAAAACTAAAATCGAGAAGTCGAAAAATTGAAAGATGGAGAAATCGAAACATGAAAAATTTCAAATTTAAAATTTCGAAAAATTGTAAAATTGAAAACCCGAAGCAATGAAAAATCCAAAAATTGAACAATATTGAAAAACTGAAAAATCTTGTGTAGAAAAATCTAAATTTTAAAAAATCGAAAACCTAAAAAATCGAGAATCAAAACATCAAAAAAATTAAAACCTGAATTGCAATTTTTAGTTTTTTCGACTTTTGCAACCAATTTTTCGATCAATTTTGCAGTTATTGAATTTTTCGAATTTTCAATTTTTAGGTAATTTAATTTTTTTATTTTTTCGTAAGATCGGGAACCCGAAAGATCAAAAAACTGAAAAATGTAAAATTTAAAAATCCTAACAAATAAAAAATAGAGAAATCAAAGAACTGAAAAATCAAAAAATTAAAATTTCGATAAAATTGAAAAATCGAGAAATTAAAACAGTGAACAATTGAAAAATTTAAGATGCAAAAATCGAAAATTAAAAAAATCGAGACATTGAGAAATCGAGAAATAAAAACAACGAAAATCTAAAAAAACGAAAAATTTAAAAGTTAAAAATTTTAAAAATCGAAAAATTCAAAAGCCGGAAAAACTAAAATCGAGAAGTCGAAAAATCGAAAGATGGAGAAATCGAAACATGAAAAATCTAAAATTTAAAATTTCGAAAAATTGTAAAATTGAATCTATGAACTCAAAAATCCAAAAATTGAAAAATTAATATATCGAAAAATTAAAAAATCTTAAAATTCATATTGAAAAATAGAAAAATCCCAAAACTGAATCATCGAGAAATCGAAAAGACGCAAAACTGAAAAGTGAAAAAATCAAAAATTTTAAAAATCGAAAAATTGAAAAACCGGAAAACCTAAAAACGAGAAATCAAAAATTACAGAAAATTTTAAGTTAAATGGAAAATTTTAAAAATCGAGAAATTGAAAAATCCTAAAAAATGACAAAACCAAAAACTAAAAATCGAAAATTTAAAAATCGAAAAATTGAAAAACCAGAAAAACTAAAACCGAGAAGTCGAAAAACCGAAAGATGGAGAAATCGAAACATGCGAAATCTAAAATTTTGAAAAATTGTAAAATTGAAAAACAGAAGAACTGAAAAATCCAAAAATCCAAAAATCGGAAAAATAATATATCGAAAAATTGAACAATTTTATGTAGAAGAATCTAAAATTTAAAAAATCGAAAAATTGAAAAATTTTAAAACTCATTGAAAAATCGAAAAATTGAAAAATTGAGAAGTCGAAAAGATGCAAAACTGAAAAGTGAAAAAATCGAAAAATTAAAAATTTTAAAAATCGAAAAATTGAAACCAAGAAGTCGACAAACCGAAAGATGGAGAAATCGAAACATGAAAAATCTAAAATTTAAAACTGTAAAATTGAAAAACCAAGAAACTGAAAAATCTAAAAATTTAAAAATTCGAAAAAAAAATGAAAAATCGAGAAATCAAAACATCAAAAAGTTAAAAAACTGAAAAATCTAAAAATTCAAATATTGAAAAATTGATTAATCGAAAAATTGAAAAATCCTAAAACTGAATCATCGAAAAATTGAAAATCGAAAAATCGAAAAGACGAAAACCTGAAAACTCGAAAAATCGAAAATTTTAAAAATCGAGAAATTGAAAAATCCTAAAAAATGACAAAACGAAAAACTAAAAATCGAAAAATTGAAAAGTCGAAGGAAAATTGAAAAACCGGGAAATCGTTAAACAGGAAAATCAAAAAGACGAAAAACCGAAAACTCGAAAATTGCAAAATCAAAAGCCTGAAAAACTGGAAAATCGGGAAATCGCGAAATCGCATAATCGAAATATCGAAGTTGAAAAATCGAGAAATCGAAAAGACGAAAAATTGAAAAGTAAAAAAATCGAAAATTTAAAAAGTCGAGGAATTGAAAAATCAAAATTTTAAAAATCTAAATATTGAAAAACCAGAAAAACTAAAACCGAGAAGTCGAAAAAGCGAAAGATGGAGAAATTGAAACATGCGAAATCTAAAAGTTCGAAAAATTGTAAAATTGAAAAAGAGAAGAACTCACAAATCCAACAGTCCAAAAACCGGAAAAATAATATATCGAAAAATTGAACAATTTTATGTAGAAAAATCTTAAAACTCATTGAAAAATCGAAAAATTTAAAAATCACAAAACTGAATCATCGAAAAATTGAAAAATTGGGAAATCGAAAAGACGCAAAACTCAAAAGTGAAAAAATTGAAAATTTGAAAAATCAAAAATTTTAAAAATCGAAAAATTGAAAAACCGGAAAACCTAAAACCGAGAAGTCCACAAACCGAAAGATGGAGAAATCGAAACATGAAAAATCTAAAATTTAAAATTTCGAAAAAATGTAAAATTGAAAAACCAGGAAACTGAAAAATCTAAAAATCGAAAAATTAAAAATTTTTATGTAGATTCTAAAATTTAAAAATTGGAAAAAAATGCAAAATCGAGAAATCAGAACATCAAAAAGTTAAAAAACTGAAAAATCTAAAAATTCAAATATTGAAAAATTGAAAATCGAGAAATCAAAAAGACGAATAACGGAAAACTCGAAATATCGAAAATTTAAAAAATCGAAAAATCAAAAAATCAAAAAAACAAGAAATCGAAAATTAAATTTTTTTTTAAGTTAAATGGAAAATTTTAAAAATCGAGAAATTGAAAATTCCTAAAAAATGACAAAACGAAAAACTTAAAATCGAAAAATTGAAGGAAAATTGAAAAACCGGAAAATCGCAAAACCGGGAAATCAAAAAGACGAAAAACCAAAAACTCTAAAATTGAAAAATTGCAAAATCAAAAGCCTGAAAACTGGAAAATCTGGAAATCGCGAAATCGCATAATCGAAATATCGAAGTAGAAAAATCTAAAATTTAAAAAGTCGAAAATTTGAAAAATCAAAATTTTAAAAATCGAAAGATGCGAAATCTAAAATTTCGAAAAACTATAAAATTGAAAAACAGAAGAACTGAAAAATTCAAAAATCGAAAAAAAAATATATAAAAATTGAACAATTTTATGTAGAAGAATCTAAAATTTAAAAAATCGAAAAACTGAAAAACCGAAAAATCAAAACATCAGAAAGTTAAAAAATTGAAAAATCTTAAAATTCAAAAATGTATTGAAAAATTGATAAATCAAAAAATTGAAAAATCAAGAAATTGAAAAGACGAAAAACTGAAAAGTCGAAAAATTAAAAAAACTTGAAATCGAAAATTAATTTTTTTTTAAGTCAAATGGAAAATTTCAAAAATCGAGAAATTTAAAATCGAAAAATTGAAAAACCGAAAAATCGAAGAGACGAAAAACAAAAAATCCGAAAATTGAAAAAATTGAAAAACTGAAAAACTTGAAAATCGAGAAAACGCGAAATGCCATAATCAAAAAATCGAAATACCGAAGTTGAATCGAGAAATCGAAAAGACGAAAATCTGAAAAACCGGAGAAACTAAAACGGAGAAGTCGAAAAACCGAAAGATGGAGAAATCGAAACATGAAAAATTTAAAATTTGAAATTTCAAAAAATTATAAAAATGAAAAACCGAAGAACTAAAAAATCCAAAAATCCAAAAATCGAAAAAATAATATATCGAAAAATTGAACACTTATGTAGAATCTAAAATTAAAAAAATCGAAAAATCAAAAAATCGAGAAATCGAAAATAAAAAATATATATAAATTTAAAAAATGGAGAAATTGAAAAATCCAAAAATAGAAAAATCCTAAACATTGACAAAATGAAAAAATAAAAATCAAAAGATTGCAAACTCGAAGGAAAATTGAAAAATCGAAAAATTAAAAAATCGAAAACTCGAAAATTGAAAAAATTGAAAAGTTGCACAATCAAAATCCTCAAAAATCGAAAAATTTAAGAATTGAAAAACTGAAAAACTGGAAAATCGAAAAATCGCGAAATGGAAGAATAAAATAATCGAAATATGGAGGTTGAAAAATCGAAAAATCGAAAATTAAAAAAATTGAAAAATTGGAAAATCGAAAATTTAAAAAGTCGAAAAACCAAAAAAATCGAAAAATTGGAAAATCGGAGGTAAATCGAAAAAGTGAAAAACCGGGAAATCGAAAAGACGAAAAACCGAAAACTGGAAAATTGAAAAAATTGAAAAATCGCGAAATGGCAGAATCAAAAAATCGAATTCGAATCAGTTCTTAATTTAACTCTTTTTCTTTTTCGATTTTTTTTATTTTACAATTGAAAAATCGACAAATCAAAAATTCGAAAGGTAAAAAATCAAAAAATCGAAAAAGTGAAAAACTTGGTGGTCGAGAAATCAATACTACAATAAGTGTAACATTGAAAATTGTAAAAATTGAAAATTCGAGAAATTGACAAATCGAAACGAATATTTGAAAAAATAAAAAATTTAATTATCAAAAATTTCAACAATAGTAAAATCGATAAACTGAAAAAACGAAAAATTAGAAAAACAGAAAATTGTACAATCTAAAAATTGCAAAACGAAAAATTAAATTTTTTGACAATCTCAACTTCAATTTTTCTCATCCCGGGGAGACATTTATCCCATGGGAAATTTTCTCGGGATCACGGATTTGTCTTTACTTTTACTGTGCGTCCATTAATAACTGAGAAAATGGCTGATTTAACCCGGCGCATCCACCATTTTTGAGAAATTTTAATATTGCCCAAATCAGCCCGGAGAGACATTTGTCTTAAGGACAATTTTCATAGAACCACTAATCTGTGGTTATAATTTTAGTGTATGTCCGCAAATAACTGAAAAAATCGCGAATTAATTCTGGCGCAGCCAACATTTTTTTACGAAATTTTACTCTAAAAATTTGGAAACTTCTGGTGTTTTATTTTTGAAATAGTTTGAAACTATTTGCATAATACGCGTCAAACCTCTCGAAACCTCAAGCCGGCCTTGCCTCCGTCTCCATAACAAAATTGTTTACTATGTGTTGTTTTGTCATTTTTTTCTAAACACTTCTCAATTTCATTTTTTGTTCACGATGCGAATCACAGCACTACGCTCAATAGCCAAAATTAACCACAATGTACTACAAAATGTAAGTATTCTCCCTCGAAATTCGCGCCCCTAACCGCCTCTCCCACCCAGTCTTGTCGGCTACACTCATTCAAATTCGAAATGACGCCGGCCAAACGGCCGGCGTCAGACCAGCAAGAGGAGTCCGCGCCCGCCGCGGAAGACACCTCCAAGAAGCCTCCCACCAACTTCCGGTACCAAGTCTTCCAGCCGCGCACCTCCGCCATCGAGAAGCCCAGCATGGAGGGCGACACGTCGGTCGTGCAGCGGCAGTCGGCGAAGGCCGCCATCGAAGAGCAGCACCTGCAGCCGGCGATGCTGCCGGAGTACTTCCAGAAGCAGATGGAGAAGAACGCGCTGATGAACCCCGACCCCGAATGCTCCGAGGGAAACAGGACGGGGCAGGGACAGCTGACGCAGACTCAGAGGTTTAATTAAGGGTTTTGGTGAGGGGGTGTCTAACACCTGTTCCAGGAGGTTTCAGGTGTCCAAGACCTGCGCCAACGCCATCCTCCCGCTCAAGAGCGTCAAGCTGGCCAACCCGTTCCCCGAGCCGGTCAAGATGATGATGTCGAGGACCGTCTCCGACGACGAGAAGGCCGAGCAGATGCTGGCCGACGCCCGCAGCCAGCGGCAGTTGTGCGACGCCCCCAACAAGAACTTCCGGACTTTCGCGACGGCGGCGAAGCGCTGGTTTTCTTCGTCGTCGAAAGAGAAGAGTTCGGTGGTGACTACCGACTCCGATAAGTGCAAGAAGGCGAAGAAGAAGACAGAGAAAGGAGGAGCGTGCCCGAAAATGCATTTGAAAGGCTGCCCCCCGATACAAGCCTCGACCACCTGTAAACGTGAAGCTAGAAACGTAGGTGAAGTGTTTTTGATAAACTTGTAATTGTTTTTATGAAAATAAATAATTTTCTTGAAAATGTTGTCTTGTAGATTAACTGCAAAAAACAAGAAGCGCCGTATCCTGCGTATAGTGAGTTCTGTCACGAAGATCCTCCAGAGAAACCCTCCGAATGCAAACTGTGTCCGTGGAGGCCCGAAGACAACCCCAACTTCAAACCACCCAAGAAGAAGTTCCACACTTCGAGCGGGGCGAAGGTGCGTCGCAGCGGGCTAGAAATGGAGTACCAGGAAGCGGAAGTCGACGTGGACGTAGAGGAGGCGGTGGCGGGAGAGCAGCGGAAAGGAATGCAGTGCGATTTGCGTAAAGTACGCTGAAGGATGTAAAAAGAGTAAAATCTGACGGTGAATGTTACAGCCCCCGTGCGACCGGCCGAAGGACACCCGCTGTCCCGCCCCTAAAGACAAAAAGACAAAAGACGAAAAAAAGAAGAAAGATAAGAAGAAAACCGTCTCACAATTTTTGGAAGACGAGATCCTAGGGCTAAAAACTCGACCCGCCTTTTCGCTCTCGTTGTCCTCGAGCGACAAGGGCGAGCCGTGCAAAACGCCCTGTAAGAAGTTCAAGTTCCCGGAATGCAAGCAGAAGGTCAAGGAGAAAGAAATCGTCGAGGACAAGTGTCCCAAGAAGAAGAAAAAGCGGAAAATTGTCGACTGCCCGCCAGAGGATGAGAACAAGAAATGCGCTCCGCTGAGGGAGTTAGTGGGGTATAGTTTGACTGGTGGAGGGGGCAATGACAAAGAGAAGAAGAAATGTCCCGAAATCGATCTGACCGTTTTTAGAGAAGATAGAGAAGATCCGTGCACTTTGAAGAGGAAAGGAACCACGAAGGTCTGTCCGGGTGACTTGCTGAAGAAGAAGAAGAGGGGGCCCAAGAAGAAAGCTAGTGGGATTATTACGCCCGTCGAGTCTAAAACCAAGATGCCTCAACAAAGGAAAACCATATAGATGTTGATAAATGTGTAAAATAAAAATCAAAAAAAGTTTAAAGAACAAGTTTTTTTTTTTGGAAAAATTTTAAATTTTTATCGTGGCACAAATTTTGCAATTTTTAGATATTTATTTTAATTTTTCATTTTATCAACTTTTCGATTTTTCAGTTTTGACGATTTTCAGTTGTTCAATTTTTGGTTACAATTTCTCTTACTTTTAATTTGTCGATTTTTCAATTTTCCAGATTTTCACTGCGTGTTGTAGAATATTGAAATTACCGGAGCAAAAATCCTTTGGTTCACAATTTTTCATAATTTCGGTTATAATAAATTTGTGCTTTTTATTGCAAAATTGAAAAATAAACACCCAAAAATCAACTATAACAATCGAGAACTTGAAAAATTAAAAATCTAAAAATTCCATGATCGTAAAACTGAAAAATAGGAAATTGAAGAACTAAAAATTGGAAAATCGAAAATAACAAGCAAAACTACCTATCTCAAATTGAAAAATTGTAAAAATTCAAGAAACGGAAAACTGAAAAATCAAAAATCTGCAAAATAAAAACTAAAAAATAAAAAATTGAAAAACGAGGTAACTGAAAAATTGAAAAATTTTGAGAAATCGAAAAATTAAAAATCGAGAAATCGAAAAATCGAAAAGTCAAAAAATGTGATAAAATTACAAAATTGTAAAAACGACAAATCCACAACAATATAATAATTGAAAAATCGAAAAATTGTAAAATCAAAAAACCGTAACGTTGAAACATCGAAAACCGCAGACTTGAAAAACTAAAAAATTCGAAATCGTGAAATTGAAAAAAACTAGAAATTAAATTATCTCAACAGATATTTATTATACTTAATATCGAAAAATTGAAGAAAAAAAAATTGGAAAACCGAAAAAACAAGCAAAACTACCTACCTCAAATTGAAAAATTGTAAAATTCAAAAAACCGAAAACTGAAAAATCGAAAATCTGCAAAATAAAAAGTAAAAAATAGAAAAACGGGGTAACTGAAAAATTGAAAAATTTTGAGAAACCGAAAAATTAAAAATCGAGAAATTGAAAAATCGATAAATCGACAGTTATAGAAATTGAGAAATCGAAAAATTAAAAAACGAGAAATTGAAAAATCAAAAAGTAAAAAAATGGGATAATGAAAAAAATTGCAAAATTGTAAAATCGATAAATCCATAACAATATAAAAATTGAAAAATCAGAAAGCCGTAACGTTGAAACATCGAAAACCGCAGACTTGAAAAACTAAAAAATTCGAAAATACGAAATTGAAAAAAAACTAAAAAATAAAAAATCGGAAAATTGCAAATTTATAAAATCAATAAGTTAACAGATATAGAAATTGAAAAATTGAATATGTAATCGTAAAATTTACGAAAAAAAAAATGTAAAATCGAAAACCACAACGTGGAAACGTTGAAAAATTGAAAAATCTCATTGAACAATTATACAATTAACAACAGAAATATTGCGAAATCGTAAAATAACAAAAATAATTAAACAAATGAAAGATCGAAAATTTCAAAAGCTATAAAACCGGAAAACCAAAAAAATCTGAGAATTGAATAATTGAAAAATAGATAAATTGCAAAATTGTAATAATCCGAATAAACGAGAAATTAAAAAATCGAGAAATTGCAAAATTCAGTGTTGAAAAATTGAAAACTTGAAATATTGTAAATCGAAAACCTGAAGAATCAAAAAACTGAAACATTGAAATGTTCAAAAACAAAAAAAAGAAAAATTGCAAAATAAAAATCGAAAAACCAAAAAATCGATTAATTCAACATCTTAAAATCGAAAAACTGAAGAAACAAAATTGGTTTACCATTTTTCAAAATTTCGGTTCAAATACATTTGTGCTTTTTATTGCAAAATTGAAAAATAAACACCCAAAAATGAACTTGAAAAATTAAAAATCTAAAAATCTCATAATCGTAAAACTGAAAAATAGGAAATTGAAGAAACGAAAAATTGAAGAACTAAAAATTGGAAAATCGAAAAAACAAGGAAAACTACCTATCTCAATTTGAAAAATTGTAAAAATTCAAGAAACAGAAAACTGAAAAATCGAAAATCTGCAGAATAAAAACTAAAAAATAAAAAATTGAAAAACGGGGTAAATGAAAAATTGAAAATTTTGAGAAATCGAAAAATTAAAATTCGAGAAATTGAAAAATCAAAAAGTCAAAAAAACGGAGAAATCGAAAAACTGTAAAATCGTTAAATCGATAAATCGACAGATATAGAAATTGGGAAGTTTCGAAAACCCAGAAATGTTGCGAAATCGTAAAATAAAAAAATAATGAAACAAACGAAGAATCGAAAATTTCAAAAGTTAAAAAACCGGAAACTCAAAAGAATCTAAGAATGGAATAATTGAAAAATTAGAAAAATCAAGAGAAAAATTTAAACATAGATAACATGAAAAATTGACAAATTGCAAAATTGTAAAATCGAAAAAATGAAAAAACGAAAAATTTTCCAATCAAAAAACAGAAACATTGAAAAACTGGAAAATTAAACATCGGGAAATGGAAAAAATCCAACGAAAAATTGCCGAAAACGTAAAAATGAAAAAGGAAAAACCTAAAATATCGAAAAACTGTAAAATTGCAAAAACGAAGAATTGTAAAATCAAAAAACTGTAACATTAACACATCGAAAAGCTAAAATCTCCAATTGAAAAACATCAAAAAATTGAAAAAAAGAAAAATTGCGAAGTTAAAACCGAAAAACTGAAAGAATGAAAAGTTGGGTAACCGAAAAAAAAGAATAATTGAGAAATCGAAAAATTAAAAATCAAGAAATCGAAAAATCGGAAAACTTTGAAAACGTAAAAATGGAAAAGAGGAGCATTAAACACTAGTAAAATTTAAAAATTCAAGTTACAAAATCGATAAAACTAAAACTGAAAACTAGAAAAATTGTAAATGAAAAAATTGAAGAAACGAAAAATTGGGAAATCAAAAAAATGTAACATGGAAAATTGAAAAAAAACAATAATTTCAATATCGAGAAATTGCGAAATCGTAAAATTTAAAAATCAGAAAGTTAAAAAATTAAAGAAAGTAATATTCAAAAGCAAAAAAACTACAAAAAGAAACATTTAAGAAACATCACAAAATTGAAAAAAAAAAACTTGAGAAATTGTAAAATCGAAAAACTGAAGAAATAACAAATTGAACAACTGAAAATTTAAAAATTGAGAAATGGAACAGGAAAAATTAAAAAAACGAAATATTAAAAATTTAAGCTAAAACATTGAAAAATCTAAAATTGAAAACAAGACATTTTCAAAACTAAAAATGTAAGAAACGAAAAATTGTAAAATAGAAAAATTAAAGATTAAGAAACAAAAAAATCACAAAATTGAAAGAATAAATAACTAAATTATCTAAAAATTCAGAAATTTAAAAATCCAAAATTGGAATAATCAAAAAATTCGAAAAATCGAGAAATTAAAAAATTGAAAAATTGCAAAATTTAGTGTTGAAAAATTGGAAACTTGAAATATTGTAAGTCGAAAAACTGAAAAATAAAAAAACTGAAATATCGAAATGTTCAAAAACAAAAAAAAATTGAAAAATTTTAAAATTAAACCTCGAAAAATTGCAAAATAAAAATCGAAAAACCAAAAAATTGATTAATTCAACATCTTAAAATCGAAAAACTGAAGAAACAAAAAATTGAAAAAATGCACAATAAAAACCGGAAAATTAACAAATTCACACATCGGAAAACTAAAAAATCAAAATATCGAGAAATTGAAAAACAAAAAAATCAAAAACTTGAAAAATAGAAAAATTGCGAGGACGTAAAAATGGAAAAATAAAAAATTACAAAATTGAAACAAAAAATTCAAAAGTTAAAAATTTGAAAAATTTAAAATTGAAAACTAGAAAAATAGAAATCCAAAGAAAATTGGAAATCGAAAGAATGAAGAAGCGAATAATTGTAACAGAAACGTCGGAAAACTCAAAAAATAAATATCGAGAAAAAAATCGAAAAATTGTTAAACAAAAAAATCTAACTGAAAAACTGAAAAACAAATTATTATTATTAAAATTAAAAAAATTGCAGAATTATAAAACCGGTAAATCCACAATTTTAAAACTGAAAAACTAAAAATTATCCAATTGAAAAACAAACAAATTTTGAAAAACTGAAAAAATGGCAAAATTGTAAAAGCGAATAATCGACAAATTTAAAAAATAATAAAGCAAGAAATTGAAAAGAACCAAAAATTGCCTCATCGAAAAATTTAACACTGAACATCGATCAACTACAAAATTAAATAGCCAGAATTTGGAAAACAAAAAAATCGAAAAATTCCGAAAACGTAATAGTGAAAAAGACAAAACAGTAATAGACACTGAAATTAAAAAATTCAAGTTAAAAAATCGAAAAAATTAAAACTGAAACCAGAAAAACTACAAATCGAAAAATTGAAAAAACGAAAAATTGAGAAATCGAAAAGCTGTAGAAACATTTAAACATCGAAAAATTGAAAATTATAAAATCGAAAATTCGAATAGTCTAAAAATCGAAAAATTGAAAGAACGGTTAATTTAAAACTAGAAAAATTGCAAATCGAAAAATTTTTAATAAATTCGCAAAATTGAAAATCTGAAAACTTAAAAATCGAAATTTGGAATAATTGAAAAATGTTGTCTTCTAGATTAACTGCAAAAAACAAGAAGCGCCGTACCCTGCGTATAGTGAATTCTGTCACGAAGATCCTCGAGAGAAACCCTCCGAATGCAAACTGTGTCCGTGGAGGCCCGAAGACAACCCCAACTTCAAACCACCCAAGAAGAAGTTCCACACTTCGAGCGGGGCGAAGGTGCGTCGCAGCGGGCTAGAAATGGAGTACCAGGAAGCGGAAGTCGACGTGGACGTAGAGGAGGAGGTGGCGGGAGAGCAACGGAAAGGAATGCAGTGCGATTTGCGTAAAGTACGCTGGAGGAGGTAAAAAGAGTAAAATCTGACGGTGAATGTTACAGCCCCCGTGCGACCCGCCGAAGGACACCCGCTGTCCCGCCCCTAAAGACAAAAAGACAAAAGACGAAAAAAAGAAGAAAGATAAGAAGAAAAGCGTGTCACAATTTTTGGAAGACGAGATCCTAGGGCTAAAAACTCGACCCGCCTTTTCGCTCTCGTTGTCCTCGAGCGACAAGGGCGAGCCGTGCAAAGGGCCCTGTAAGAAGTTCAAGTTCCCGGAATGCAAGCAGAAGGTCAAGGAGAAAGAAATCGTCGAGGACAAGTGTCCCAAGAAGAAGAAAAAGCGGAAAATTGTCGACTGCCCGCCAGAGGATGAGAACAAGAAATGTGTTCCGCTGAGGGAGTTAGTGGGGTATAGTTTGACTGGTGGAGGGGGCAATGACAAAGAGAAGAAGAAATGTCCCGAAATCGATCTGACCGTTTTTAGAGAAGATAGAGAAGATCCGTGCACTTTGAAGAGGAAAGGAACCACGAAGGTCTGTCCGGGTGACTTGCTGAAGAAGAAGAAGAGGGGGCCCAAGAAGAAAGCTAGTGGGATTATTACGCCCGTCGAGTCTAAAACCAAGATGCCTCAACAAAGGAAAACCATATAGATGTTGATAAATGTGTAAAATAAAAATCAAAAAAAGTTTAAAGAACAAGTTTTTTTTTTTGGAAAAATTTTAAATTTTTATCGTGGCACAAATTTTGCAATTTTTAGATATTTATTTTAATTTTTCATTTTATCAACTTTTCGATTTTTCAGTTTTGACGATTTTCAGTTGTTCAATTTTTGGTTACAATTTCTCTTACTTTTAATTTGTCGATTTTTCAATTTTCCAGATTTTCACTGCGTGTTGTAGAATATTGAAATTACCGGAGCAAAAATCCTTTGGTTCACAATTTTTCATAATTTCGGTTATAATAAATTTGTGCTTTTTATTGCAAAATTGAAAAATAAACACCCAAAAATCAACTATAACAATCGAGAACTTGAAAAATTAAAAATCTAAAAATTCCATGATCGTAAAACTGAAAAATAGGAAATTGAAGAACTAAAAATTGGAAAATCGAAAATAACAAGCAAAACTACCTATCTCAAATTGAAAAATTGTAAAAATTCAAGAAACGGAAAACTGAAAAATCAAAAATCTGCAAAATAAAAACTAAAAAATAAAAAATTGAAAAACGAGGTAACTGAAAAATTGAAAAATTTTGAGAAATCGAAAAATTAAAAATCGAGAAATCGAAAAATCGAAAAGTCAAAAAATGTGATAAAATTACAAAATTGTAAAAACGACAAATCCACAACAATATAATAATTGAAAAATCGAAAAATTGTAAAATCAAAAAACCGTAACGTTGAAACATCGAAAACCGCAGACTTGAAAAACTAAAAAATTCGAAATCGTGAAATTGAAAAAAACTAGAAATTAAATTATCTCAACAGATATTTATTATACTTAATATCGAAAAATTGAAGAAAAAAAAATTGGAAAACCGAAAAAACAAGCAAAACTACCTACCTCAAATTGAAAAATTGTAAAATTCAAAAAACCGAAAACTGAAAAATCGAAAATCTGCAAAATAAAAAGTAAAAAATAGAAAAACGGGGTAACTGAAAAATTGAAAAATTTTGAGAAACCGAAAAATTAAAAATCGAGAAATTGAAAAATCGATAAATCGACAGTTATAGAAATTGAGAAATCGAAAAATTAAAAAACGAGAAATTGAAAAATCAAAAAGTAAAAAAATGGGATAATGAAAAAAATTGCAAAATTGTAAAATCGATAAATCCATAACAATATAAAAATTGAAAAATCAGAAAGCCGTAACGTTGAAACATCGAAAACCGCAGACTTGAAAAACTAAAAAATTCGAAAATACGAAATTGAAAAAAAACTAAAAAATAAAAAATCGGAAAATTGCAAATTTATAAAATCAATAAGTTAACAGATATAGAAATTGAAAAATTGAATATGTAATCGTAAAATTTACGAAAAAAAAAATGTAAAATCGAAAACCACAACGTGGAAACGTTGAAAAATTGAAAAATCTCATTGAACAATTATACAATTAACAACAGAAATATTGCGAAATCGTAAAATAACAAAAATAATTAAACAAATGAAAGATCGAAAATTTCAAAAGCTATAAAACCGGAAAACCAAAAAAATCTGAGAATTGAATAATTGAAAAATAGATAAATTGCAAAATTGTAATAATCCGAATAAACGAGAAATTAAAAAATCGAGAAATTGCAAAATTCAGTGTTGAAAAATTGAAAACTTGAAATATTGTAAATCGAAAACCTGAAGAATCAAAAAACTGAAACATTGAAATGTTCAAAAACAAAAAAAAGAAAAATTGCAAAATAAAAATCGAAAAACCAAAAAATCGATTAATTCAACATCTTAAAATCGAAAAACTGAAGAAACAAAATTGGTTTACCATTTTTCAAAATTTCGGTTCAAATACATTTGTGCTTTTTATTGCAAAATTGAAAAATAAACACCCAAAAATGAACTTGAAAAATTAAAAATCTAAAAATCTCATAATCGTAAAACTGAAAAATAGGAAATTGAAGAAACGAAAAATTGAAGAACTAAAAATTGGAAAATCGAAAAAACAAGGAAAACTACCTATCTCAATTTGAAAAATTGTAAAAATTCAAGAAACAGAAAACTGAAAAATCGAAAATCTGCAGAATAAAAACTAAAAAATAAAAAATTGAAAAACGGGGTAAATGAAAAATTGAAAATTTTGAGAAATCGAAAAATTAAAATTCGAGAAATTGAAAAATCAAAAAGTCAAAAAAACGGAGAAATCGAAAAACTGTAAAATCGTTAAATCGATAAATCGACAGATATAGAAATTGGGAAGTTTCGAAAACCCAGAAATGTTGCGAAATCGTAAAATAAAAAAATAATGAAACAAACGAAGAATCGAAAATTTCAAAAGTTAAAAAACCGGAAACTCAAAAGAATCTAAGAATGGAATAATTGAAAAATTAGAAAAATCAAGAGAAAAATTTAAACATAGATAACATGAAAAATTGACAAATTGCAAAATTGTAAAATCGAAAAAATGAAAAAACGAAAAATTTTCCAATCAAAAAACAGAAACATTGAAAAACTGGAAAATTAAACATCGGGAAATGGAAAAAATCCAACGAAAAATTGCCGAAAACGTAAAAATGAAAAAGGAAAAACCTAAAATATCGAAAAACTGTAAAATTGCAAAAACGAAGAATTGTAAAATCAAAAAACTGTAACATTAACACATCGAAAAGCTAAAATCTCCAATTGAAAAACATCAAAAAATTGAAAAAAAGAAAAATTGCGAAGTTAAAACCGAAAAACTGAAAGAATGAAAAGTTGGGTAACCGAAAAAAAAGAATAATTGAGAAATCGAAAAATTAAAAATCAAGAAATCGAAAAATCGGAAAACTTTGAAAACGTAAAAATGGAAAAGAGGAGCATTAAACACTAGTAAAATTTAAAAATTCAAGTTACAAAATCGATAAAACTAAAACTGAAAACTAGAAAAATTGTAAATGAAAAAATTGAAGAAACGAAAAATTGGGAAATCAAAAAAATGTAACATGGAAAATTGAAAAAAAACAATAATTTCAATATCGAGAAATTGCGAAATCGTAAAATTTAAAAATCAGAAAGTTAAAAAATTAAAGAAAGTAATATTCAAAAGCAAAAAAACTACAAAAAGAAACATTTAAGAAACATCACAAAATTGAAAAAAAAAAACTTGAGAAATTGTAAAATCGAAAAACTGAAGAAATAACAAATTGAACAACTGAAAATTTAAAAATTGAGAAATGGAACAGGAAAAATTAAAAAAACGAAATATTAAAAATTTAAGCTAAAACATTGAAAAATCTAAAATTGAAAACAAGACATTTTCAAAACTAAAAATGTAAGAAACGAAAAATTGTAAAATAGAAAAATTAAAGATTAAGAAACAAAAAAATCACAAAATTGAAAGAATAAATAACTAAATTATCTAAAAATTCAGAAATTTAAAAATCCAAAATTGGAATAATCAAAAAATTCGAAAAATCGAGAAATTAAAAAATTGAAAAATTGCAAAATTTAGTGTTGAAAAATTGGAAACTTGAAATATTGTAAGTCGAAAAACTGAAAAATAAAAAAACTGAAATATCGAAATGTTCAAAAACAAAAAAAAATTGAAAAATTTTAAAATTAAACCTCGAAAAATTGCAAAATAAAAATCGAAAAACCAAAAAATTGATTAATTCAACATCTTAAAATCGAAAAACTGAAGAAACAAAAAATTGAAAAAATGCACAATAAAAACCGGAAAATTAACAAATTCACACATCGGAAAACTAAAAAATCAAAATATCGAGAAATTGAAAAACAAAAAAATCAAAAACTTGAAAAATAGAAAAATTGCGAGGACGTAAAAATGGAAAAATAAAAAATTACAAAATTGAAACAAAAAATTCAAAAGTTAAAAATTTGAAAAATTTAAAATTGAAAACTAGAAAAATAGAAATCCAAAGAAAATTGGAAATCGAAAGAATGAAGAAGCGAATAATTGTAACAGAAACGTCGGAAAACTCAAAAAATAAATATCGAGAAAAAAATCGAAAAATTGTTAAACAAAAAAATCTAACTGAAAAACTGAAAAACAAATTATTATTATTAAAATTAAAAAAATTGCAGAATTATAAAACCGGTAAATCCACAATTTTAAAACTGAAAAACTAAAAATTATCCAATTGAAAAACAAACAAATTTTGAAAAACTGAAAAAATGGCAAAATTGTAAAAGCGAATAATCGACAAATTTAAAAAATAATAAAGCAAGAAATTGAAAAGAACCAAAAATTGCCTCATCGAAAAATTTAACACTGAACATCGATCAACTACAAAATTAAATAGCCAGAATTTGGAAAACAAAAAAATCGAAAAATTCCGAAAACGTAATAGTGAAAAAGACAAAACAGTAATAGACACTGAAATTAAAAAATTCAAGTTAAAAAATCGAAAAAATTAAAACTGAAACCAGAAAAACTACAAATCGAAAAATTGAAAAAACGAAAAATTGAGAAATCGAAAAGCTGTAGAAACATTTAAACATCGAAAAATTGAAAATTATAAAATCGAAAATTCGAATAGTCTAAAAATCGAAAAATTGAAAGAACGGTTAATTTAAAACTAGAAAAATTGCAAATCGAAAAATTTTTAATAAATTCGCAAAATTGAAAATCTGAAAACTTAAAAATCGAAATTTGGAATAATTGAAAAATGTTGTCTTCTAGATTAACTGCAAAAAACAAGAAGCGCCGTACCCTGCGTATAGTGAATTCTGTCACGAAGATCCTCGAGAGAAACCCTCCGAATGCAAACTGTGTCCGTGGAGGCCCGAAGACAACCCCAACTTCAAACCACCCAAGAAGAAGTTCCACACTTCGAGCGGGGCGAAGGTGCGTCGCAGCGGGCTAGAAATGGAGTACCAGGAAGCGGAAGTCGACGTGGACGTAGAGGAGGAGGTGGCGGGAGAGCAACGGAAAGGAATGCAGTGCGATTTGCGTAAAGTACGCTGGAGGAGGTAAAAAGAGTAAAATCTGACGGTGAATGTTACAGCCCCCGTGCGACCCGCCGAAGGACACCCGCTGT